TATTGCAGAACATCAGGCTGAGAGAGAAGGTATCTGGAACATCCACATGCTTAACCAAAATGCATTGCTCCCACATTACAGTGCAAATCCAACAAATTACGCTTGTTGGCTACCAGTCGACATTTTTGACAAGGTGCACCTACATGACGCTGCCACAGATGCATATGAAACAGTTCACTTTGAGGGAAAAACCTGGACGCTAAAATGGACTGACATGGGTGTCGAGAGAAGCCACCCAGGATTCAAAGAGTGAAGGTGGACTTGCAAGACACCGGCTAATGCGATGGCCTTTGACCAGAAATATCATAGGTTATACATCTAAGCTCAGAGAAAGAGATAGTATGTTAAGCATCAGTGAAGACAACACCCATGAGGTTTACAAGACTGCCTGTATGAAGAACATAAAAGTTATCTAATCAAACACATTCATAACAAATTCTCATCCTGAAGTATCTCTGAACATCGCAAGTGTAAACGGTAAACTGAACGCTCTGGGAGCACAAAAATGATGTGAGTCTTGCATGTGCCTCCATGCTAATATAGTTTCACATAACATGTACGACGTGTATGTTGGCAAAGCAGAGTATTGATATCTTTCCGTATTACAAAACAAGTTTTGGATCACCCTTGGCCTTTGGCTGGAGTAAAGAGAATGGCGATCTGGAACCTGTGTACTTTCAAGGGGTGATGGAATAAGAGATACTACTGTGTTGTCTCTGCTCCTAAAGAACTGAAACTTCGGACTGGACGTTTCGCCTACAAATAATGCAACCAAATACCTAAATGTGCACTTGTCAGGGAGATACAAATTGTCTGATTCAGTTGGAAAAGTAGACATTCACAGAAAACAGGGGCGGTGGGTAGCCTAGTGGTTAAAGCGTTGGCTTGTCACGCCGAAGACCCGGGTTCGAATCCCCACATGGGTACAATGTGTGAAGCCCATTTCTGGTGTCCCCCACCGTGATGTTGCTGGAATATTGCTAAAAGCGGCGTAAAACCAAAACTAAGTCAGTCAGTCACAGAAAACAGAAAACTGTAGATAAACACTGACAATGCTGTATGAAAATAACCTTGAAAGATTTGCAACGTCGTGCAATTCCATAGACTATAATTCTAAGAGTAAAAAAGGCACGTGTCTCTATTTCATTGCAATATTTGAATTCATTGCCCTAATGCTATCTGATTTCAAAATTTATGTTGCCTTGGCATGGGCACAGAGATTTGAAGCTGTCACGCAAAGTGAATGTTTCCTGATGAAATTGATGTGTAAATTTCCAAAAAGGTTGATTTCCACCAAAATATGATTTTCAGGTATCTATCTGTATTATTGCCTTTGGTCATTTAATTAAATAAAAACAATTCAGAATAATTATGCCTTAACACCATTGGTGATGGAAACTTAACAAAAAATGAAGGATTTATATATCTAAATTAAACGTCGTAAGTATATATCTTTTTACCTTGGTGGGATCACGCGACATGAATTCTTTTAAAGACTTGACCATATCTGGTCACTACATCAGGGCCTGTGTTAACGTAGGTACAATAAGCTTTCCAATGAGCCATAATATGTCCATACAAGAGATGCGGGCATTAAACCCCTTAATTTGGCCACTTTTCTTAAAGTCGCTGCTCTCCTACATCGTCAACATATTGCTCAAATGATGCCGATATGACGGTGAATTTTGACACACACTCAAAGCAGTTATCGTATTCGCTCTATCGAAGTTCTGTTCTCATCATTATTGCACAACTAGTTTATTATTCGTAAATAATAACAGCACAATCTGTTGTTGTTCGATCACTGTCAATTATAGTTATGATACCATGTCTTAGGGCAGGTATGAGTGTATTCTGTGGCTCTAGTGGCACCAAACACACGAAAAGGCAAATCAATTGTTCACATCGAAACAAATTGTAACGTGTCGGTTGAGACAATAAGTTAATTGGGTTTCAGTCCGAAAAAGAACAAAGAAATGTAATAAAATCAACAATTGTATTATAAAATACATAACTTTACACTGGAAAGTATACTTCTAAAGACGTCTTGCAGTAGTGAGACGGCCCGTCAGTCGCGGATGAACACATGAACGTCGAGCAACGGTTTACATCTGTGTACAGTCCGTTTGAGACGAAATGATACCGATGAATTACAATCTAACACAAAAACAAATAGACATAAAACCAACGCGGACTGCAATAAAAACAACAGCCCAACTCTAGAAAAAAATGCGTAATTTTTGTCACGAAAATAAAAAAGTTGTTTAAGAAACTGTCATCATTTGTGCGTTTTCCCAGTTTGTTATAAGGGCGCATTGGCAACTAAAGGAACAGCGCGAAAAGCGAGATGCACGTGCATTAGTAACGTCAGAGACATGTGATTACTGCTGATTGACAAAGTGAGAGAAAATGAAAGTCTATAATTTACGGTCTATGGTTTCTTCAAGGATGAAAATGACAGGGGGTGACCAAAGTATGCAATTATTAAGCACATACAGCGCACTGCTTGTGCAGCTGGGGTACGTGTCATCTCGCCAGCTCAAAAGTTTGTTGAGAACCCGTTAACGCACGAGCATCTGTTCCGCGCTGTTCCTTTAGTTGCCAATGCGCCCTTGTAACAAACTGAGTAAACACACAAATAAATTATGACAGTTTCTTAAACAACTTTTTCATTTTTGTGACACAAATTATGCAGTTTTTTTCTAGAGTTGGTCTGTTGTTTTTGTTGCAGTCTGCGTTGGTTTGATTCTTTTATGTCTATTTGTTTTTGTGTTAGATTGCAATTCATCGGTATTATTTTGTCTCAAACGGACTGTAGCCGGCGAATCCAGACGTGACAGACGTCGCGTGTACAAAAAGATTTAACTGAGTTTAAAATGTCAGATAGTCTGGTTCTTTTCAGTGAAACTTACAACACACTGACACGTTTAACTGTAAATTTCGAATTTTACCTGAACCATGTTCACGTGCACATCATGAAGACCCTTTACACGAAACTGGCGTGATCGCGCAAAATTCATGAAGTTGAGAATGGAATAACTATTTTCTATAACCATAGACAATCAAACTGTTTGAGAGGAAGTTGTGGACATAAGGAAAGAGAAGTGTTTATGGATGATCAACTTCTCTGTTGTACACTATCGACATTTCGAAATAGATACTTATAAATACCGTTTTCAAGCATGCTTTTCGGAAAAGATACTTATACCGTTTTCCAGCATGGTCGATAACGGTATAAGTATCTATACTGAAACGCCGCTAGTGTACAATAAAGAAGTTGATCATCCATAAACACTTGACATTCCGGCCGCCTCCGTGGTGTAGTGGTTAGAGCGTCCGCCCGGAGAGCGGAAGGTCGCGGGTTCGATCCCCGACCGCGTCATACCAAAAGACGTTAAATGGTACTTGTTGGTCCCTGCCTGGCGTTCGGCATTAATGGGTACAAAAAGGACTGGTCGGCTCGGAGTCAGTATAATGTGTCTGAGTGGGGTATTCATGCTTCACTGCGGCATGGTATCTCAGTTGGCTAGCACTATAAAACCAGCTTAAGTCTGGGCTAGTACAAGCAGCCGCACATACACATACACGAGCACGTCGTCATATGAGCGAAATATTCTCAAGCACGACGTTAAACCCAATTTCACCTCACCTCACTTGGCGTTCCCATATACAATCGTACAACTTTCACTGGCTCGCAAATAATAACACCTCAAAATAGGATTCAGTTGCTTTCTAAATCAATCTCCTTAAGGAGAATCGTGTTACATTAACAACAGAACATTCATAATTCACAACACTGAATACATAGAGAATGTCACCCTCGTGTCTACTGATATCAATTATATCCACACGAGTTGATAAAGATACAGGCTTGCCCCGTGTAGATATAATTGATATCAGAAGACACGAGGGTGAGATTCTATATATCATAAAAAATCACTCATCAGTAGTTATCAATGAAAAACGTACATCTCTGAACACGGTACTACCATTAGACTTGCAGTGCAGCGATGTCATAGCATTGTGCGTCATCACATTTTGACGGCATAGCATTGTACCAAATCTACTGTCAAAACGATATCTCCCAGGAGATATCGTTTGATTTCACACAAGCAATGTCTCCAGTGGAACACAGTTTTGGATGATAAGTAGTTATGCTTATGATAGCTGTCTACTTCTTGCAATCCACGCTGAGTAATGAGACGCGCAACAACTTCGGAATTAACATCGCTTCCTTATTTGGCAGTGCAAAAAGCCAGTGCGTCATGATAGAAGGTTATAGTGCCATCTTCCTCAAGAGGTGGCATGGCTTTTTAAGAATTCAGTGTGTTTTTTCCAAAGCAGTAGTATGACCAAAGCAGGACCCTGAGCCACAGCAAGCAGAATGGACCAGCCAGGTTAAGACACCGTCAGTATGTGGGATAGTGTACAAGAGATGCGTACCTTTGCATTTAGTCATTAACACGCAATTACCCTAGTTCAACAGGAGCGCTGGTGGTATCCACGACCTGTTAATTGCAAGTAAAATTTAAAAATGTTAAGTTACTTTAAAATGTCAACTCCGACTTGTTACACCGATGTTGTAACATACCTTTGTTTTCTCGTACTCTAGACGTCAACAGATCTTCTCAAGTGATAATACCTATCACACCTGGTTGAAATGCTGCAGGTGTAAAAGGAGACCCATCCCTAACTGCAGGTCATGAAATAAAAAACGACACTTAAATATTTAGCGAGGGATGATTAAATCTACAATAACATTCTACAACTGCTGTTTTTTAAAAAAACCTTTTTATCAACATAATTTCCTGAATACAAACTTTTGTCCTGGGCTTGTCTCAAAAGGGCAGATTTTTGACAATGTATGCAGTTTACAACTGATAAATAATATATGCAACTTTATCAATAAAAAATGCTGCTTAATCAGTACACCTGTAGTCATCACTGCATACAGTTTAATCAGTACACCTATAGTCATCATTGTTCACAGTTTCATCAGTTCACCTGTAGTCATCACTGCATACAGTTTCAGCAGTACACCTGTAGTCATCACTGCATACAGTTTCAGCAGTACACCTGTAGTCATCACTGCATACAGTTTCAGCAGTACACCTGTAGTCATCACTGTTCACAGTTTCATCAGTACACCTGCAGTCATCACTGCATACAGTTTCAGCAGTACACCTGTAGTCATCACTGTTCACAGTTTCATCAGTACACCTGCAGTCATCACTGCATACAGTTTCAGCAGTACACCTGTAGTCATCACTGTTCACAGTTTCATCAGTACACCTGTAGTCATCACTGCATACAGTTTCAGCAGTACACCTGTAGTCATCACTGTTCACAGTTTCGTCAGTACACCTGTAGTCATCACTGCATACAGTTTCAGCAGTACACCTGTAGTCATCACTGCATACAGTTTCAGCAGTACACCTGTAGTCATCACTGTTCACAGTTTCATCAGTACACCTGTAGTCATCACTGCATACAGTTTCAGCAGTACACCTGTAGTCATCACTGTTCACAGTTTCAGCAGTACACCTGTAGTCATCACTGCATACAGTTTCAGTACAGTAGTCATCCTGTTTAGTCATCACTGTAGTCATCAGTTTCAGTCAGTACACCTGTAGTCATCACTGCATACAGTTTCAGCAGTACACCTGTAGTCATCACTGTTCACAGTTTCAGCAGTACACCTGTAGTCATCACTGTTCACAGTTTCATCAGTACACCAGTAGTCATCACTGCATACAGTTTCAGCAATACACCTGTAGTCATCACTGCATACAGTTTCAGCAGTACACCTGTAGTCATCACTGCATACAGTTTCAGCAATACACCTGTAGTCATCACTGCATACAGTTTCAGCAGTACACCTGTAGTCATCACTGCATACAGTTTCAGCAGTACACCTGTAGTCATCACTGCATACAGTTTCAGCAGTACACCTGTAGTCATCACTGTTCACAGTTTCAGCAGTACACCTGTAGTCATCACTGCATACAGTTTCAGCAGTACACCTGTAGTCATCACTGCATACAGTTTCAGCAATACACCTGTAGTCATCTCTGTATACAGTTTCAGCAGTACACCTGTAGTCATCACTGCATCGCTGTACACAGTTTTATCGATACACATGTAGTCATCACTGCATACAGTTTCATCAGTACACCTGTAGTCATCACTGCATCGCTGTATACAGTTTCATTGGTACACCTATAGTCATCACTGCACATACACACACACACACACACACACACACACACACACACATATATATATATATATATAGTTTATCCTTTGATGCATACATGTATATATACAGTACAACCAGAAATTATTGAGAATTTAAAGATTGTATTTTTTTTTCACTCATTACTCACGTATTAAATGTGAATATTAGCAGAACATAACTCCAGATTCAAAGACAGGTGAACAGTTAGTATTTTGTCAAGTCACTATGGGCAGCAATGCGGCGGGTCTGATCAAAGAAGTTAGAAAGTCGTGGTCCATGCTGTCCCAATATCGGACCACCTCTTCTTTCATTTCAGCAATGTTTGTCAGATTTTTCTTATTGACACTTTCCTTCATAAATCCCCAAACATTTTCTATTGGACTTAGGTCAGGGCTATAGCTTGGCCAATCTAATAATGTCATTGACATTTTGGGTCCGAAACCAGACTTTCTAATAATGTCATGTGGGTCCGAAAATGCTTTGAACAATGTTTTGGGTTGTTGTATTGCTATTGCTGGAAAATCCAAAATATTCCATAGAACACGTGAGCAGATGGAAGTAAATGTCCCTCGAGAATATCTGTGTACAGCTCACTGTTCATATTCCCTTCAAATACACAGAGGGGCATTGCCCCTAACACAGATATGCCACCCCACACGTTCAATTTCGGACTGTACTTTGGGCGCTGATACAAAGTTTTTTCAGTTTGTTTGGTCCAGAATTTCAGTGTATTAGGAAACAGCCACACAGAACTTTCATCTGAGAAAATCACATTGTCCAGTTAAAATTTCTATGCTGTAAGCACCAGTTCAACCTTCGCCTTTTTGTTCAGGTTTCATGATCGGTGATGGAATTCCTCGACTTTTCTGCCAACCCATTGCATGCAGCTCAGTTCTAATTGTCTCCTTACAGACAGCCACAGTTCCTCTATCAATCATATCCAGCCTTAAGTTTTCTAAACTCCTTCGTTTGCTTTTAGAAACAAGAATACCAAGCCGCCCCCTGTCACCGACAGTCCATTTTCTGGGCCTACCTGCGCCTCCCTGGTGCTCAATGCCATATCCATTTGCAATAGTTTTCAAAACACGATAAACAGTGGACGAAGGGATGCCTGTTCTACTTGAAATCACTTTAGCTGATCTGATGTCCTTGTTATAATACTCTAAAATCAACTTCCTCTTCTCTAAATCATCCATACTGAGGATCACTGAAAATGTCGTCTGCGAGCAAGTAAACAAAGGGGGATAACTCTTCACAAACTAATGAAAAAGGATTAACGGAGTTGTCTCTCTTGAATGAAACTAAGCACTTGATAGCTGGTCAAGGTTGTTTATACAAGAAATCCAATTAAACATATTCCTAAAAAAACATGTTGGAGAAGATCCGTGTCGTGTGATTATTTCAGAAACCTCTTCTTATATATGTACTACTGTACGCTCGGTATTCTCATCGCTTTCTTTATATATATATATATATATATATATAATATATATATATATCTGTGTGTGTGTGTGTATGTATGCGCGCGCGCGTGTGTGCGTGTGTTGACATTGTACAATAAAATGCAATGTTTAAATCCAACTGTGATAGGCATGCGGCTTTAAACGACTTGCGCTCATCCATAATGACTCCACCAAGGGTATCAGCTGAAAGGTCAGCCTGTAAAGACGTAAGATGCATTGCTAAGGAAAACAAACATATTTCACCGACCACACTTCAGCAAGTTCAGTTTGGTTGGTCTTTCAAGTTATGACGTCCACGAAAAACCATTTTGGTGAAAATGGAAATACCATCTACATATGCATTGTCCTCATATGGAAATACAGTCAGTCTCATCTGGGCCATCATTTGTTCTCAAATTTGATTAAAAAAATATTGTCAAACCCTATAATATTTGTAATAGAGGAAAACCTTACATTAACTGTGATTACGGTACATTAACAGTGAGTCTTAACTAGTTTTTGAATGTAAGTATAGCTTACAATACTGACAGTTGCATGATGTCATAGAGCCTTAGTTTTCCGACAAAGCGGCGGTTCTGAATTATACACTTAGGAGAGCGTGTCACCAAATATTGAAAGGTCAGTGGTTAGCACCCTCAGTAAATAATTATTACCAAGCATTAGGCATTCTTGGAGTAATTAACGCGCTTTTCGACATGTCACCCGAATAGTATTTGACAAGGGTACACATAATAAAAACACGTGCACACAGTGAGAGACGAAAGTCCTCCTTTCGGATGCAATAAAAGCGTAGCAAGTCACCTTTTACAGGGTTTGACAAAGTAAACGAGCATCAAAATGACATTCTATTCTGTGATTAACACCCTAGCGATAATCCGTCCAATCGCGTAATTTTTCTATAAACGCTTCATTCGGTTGGCCCTCCCTCCTGCACGGTATAAAACGGGAGCATCAGGATCTCGCTTTGACTTTCAGCAGGTACTTGCGGACCTGTGAGGAGGTAGGGCTTCATCATGAGACTATCGTTACTTCTTGTACTTGTGGTGTTCAGCGTCGGGGCGTTTTGTGGCTCCAATAGAAGACAGTCCAGTAATCATGGAAGTTCTTGCAACTGTGGCTGTAATGGAGGGAGCGGCACTGGCGGCAGTGGTACTGGTGTGACGAAAGGTGGACAATACGGTGGAGGAAACACTGGAGGAACCAAAGGCAATGGAGGTGGCAACTACAATAACGGGGGTCAGAACAATAATGGAGGGAGACCCGGTACCAACAGTGGACGAAGACCTGGAACCAACAATGGCGGCTACCCAAATGGCGGTAATGGTGGAAGTAGACCCGGTACCAACAATGGCCGAAGACCCAGTACCTCAGGAAATGGAGGTGGCGACTACAACAGCGGTGGTCAAACGAACAATGGATACCCAAGTGGTGGCAATGGCGGAAGTCCCGGCTCCAACAATGGTGGATACCCAAGTGGTGGCAATGGAGGAAGTCCCGGCTCCAACAATGGTGGAAGTCCCGGCTCCAGCAATGGCGGCTACCCAAATGGCGGTAATGGTGGAAGTAGACCCGGTACCAACAGTGGCGGAAGAAGACCCGGTTCCAACAATGGTGGAAGAAGACCCGGTACCAACAGTGGCGGAAGAAGACCCGGTACCAACAATGGCGGAAGAAGACCCGGTACCAACACTGGCGGAACAAGACCCGGTACCAACAATGGTGGATACCCAAGTGGTGGCAATGGCGGAAGTCCCGGCTCCAACAATGGCGGCTACCCAAATGGCGGTAATGGTGGAAGTAGACCCGGTACGAACAATGGCGGAGGAAGTCCTGGTACCAACAATGGCGGAGGAAGACCCGGTACCAACAATGGTGGAAGTCCCGGCTCCAACAATGGCGGTTACCCAAATGGCGGTAATGGCGGAGGAAGACCCGGTCCCAACAATGGCGGAAGTCCCGGCTCCAACAATGGCGGCTACCCAAGTGGTGGCAATGGCGGAAGTCCCGGCTCCAACAATGGTGGATACCCAAGTGGTGGCAATGGCGGAAGTCCCGGCTCCAACAATGGCGGCTACCCAAATGGCGGTAATGGTGGAAGTAGACCCGGTACCAACAATGGTGGAAGTGGACCCGGTACCAACAATGGCGGAAGAAGACCCGGTTCCAACAATGGCGGAAGTGGACCCGGGACCAACAGTGGCGGAAGAAGACCCGGTTCCAACAATGGTGGAAGTAGACCCGGTACCAACAATGGCGGAAGAAGACCCGGTTCCAACAATGGTGGATACCCAAGTGGTGGCAATGGCGGAAGTCCCGGATCCAACAATGGCGGCTACCCAAATGGCGGTAATGGTGGAAGTAGACCCGGTACCAACAATGGTGGAAGTGGACCCGGTACCAACAATGGCGGAAGAAGACCCGGTTCCAACAATGGCGGAAGAAGACCCGGTTCCAACAATGGCGGAAGTGGACCCGGTACCAACAGTGGCGGAAGAAGACCCGGTTCCAACAATGGTGGAAGTGGACCCGGTACCAACAATGGCGGAAGAAGACCCGGTTCCAACAATGGCGGAGGAAGACCCGGTACCAACAGTGGCGGAGGAAGACCCGGTACCAACAATGGTGGAAGTCCCGGCTCCAACAATGGTGGTACTCCAGGAAGAGTTGGGACAAACGACAACATTGACATTGGTAAGCTGACATATAATCGGCAAACAACATGCGATTGTAACATATATATCTATGGTATATTTAATGGAAGAGAACACGGGCACCGCAATTCTCTGTACAGAGTTGCCTCCACTCAGGCGCCAGGATCCTATGTCCTTGGGTGGAAAGCCAGTTTGTTCCGATTGCGTCTGTAGGTTTGCCAGCGCCAATCCTTGCACCTTGTTTGACCAAAATTGCAAGCCTCTAAGACCTGCATCGATTCGGTCTTCTTTGACATAATAACTACAGTCCGTTTGAGTCAGAAACTTTTGACACAGTTCACTATTTGTTACGAGGGAGGAGTGCAGAGGAAGGGACAGCCAGGTGTTATTGATTCATTAGCCTGTGCTGTAGGGCTGGGACGGGTACTCGGGTACTCGAATCCGGGTCGGGTACAGCTGGAATCGAGTCCTATTTCTAGGAATCGAGTACCCGGAAAAGGAGAGAACTCTGTAATGGCAAGGGTAGATAATAACTTTTCATTTTAATTATTGACGTAAGACACATTTGCATCATTGGCATTGTCCGATTAATGGAGGTCATTATTAACGACTGCATGTAATATATCTGAGCATGAGCAGTGAGGTGTCAAGTTACAGTAACAGCGGTAATGGTGTTACTCTCTATATTGGTTAAACCAGGGATAATCTACAACACATATAGTTTCCCTGGTTAAACCAGGGATAATCTACAACACATACAGTCTCCCTGGTTAAACCAGGGATAATCTACAACACATATAGTCTCCCTGGTTAAACAGACATAAAATAAATAGCCCATGTTCAGTTTCAGTGTCTTATTGACATCATTTCAAGATTTTCTATAAAAATCTTTGTCAACTCGTGATTGGATATTCAGAAAGTTGACAGAAGCGCTTTATTCCTTACATTTACGGGTACTCGATTCCGATTCGGGTAAGTACATGCGGGTACTCGATTCCATTTTTTCCTACCCGTCCCAGCCCTACTGTGCTGTGCCGTCTCCATCCTTTCTCGCACACCTGGCTGTCCCTTTCTCTGCACTCCTCCCTCGTAACAAATAGTGAACTGTGTCAACATTTTAATGATAGTTTCTTAAAGAACTTTTTTGGTGGAGTCTGGAAAATTTTCAAATATCAGAAAGCTGTTGGGTATTAGTAAATGATAAACATGTGTACTATTTATATTTATGTGGCAATTTTGTACAATGATAAAATTTGCAATTCATCAGTCCGTTTCTGACTCAAACGGACTGTTTTTTGTAACTCTCTCTCTCAACGCTTCTTCCAGCATTGTGCACAGAACTGGCAGACGAAGGTTCCTGTGACTTCTTCACGGACCCCTATTGTTTCCAAGCACTGCTCAATACGTGCCGCGTTTCTCCTGTATGGGTCATGCAGATCTGTCAGTTGTCCGTTGTAGTTAATGGCACGTTCAACCAAGAGGTAGGTGTTGCACCGATTACTTTGTCCAGTCGAAGATGGGGACGGGCAAAACACGAACTTTTACTGTTTGATAGATTTCTTACAGAAGGGCCATTCCGCTTTTGTAAAACAAAGTTTGCATACTTTGAAAGAAATGCGACATACTCTGTTTGCAGTAGGTAACGGTTGATTTGGAAATTGTGAGTTTTAAATTCTTATGTTAAATTAAATGTGTTATCAGTGTTTGGTTTTGCATGTTCCTTTGAACCTTGCGTCGAAACGAAACGTTCCGCAAATCGGAATGCCTAATCAGATAAAATCCTTTATTATAAGATTAATTAGATTATTCGTGTTTTAGGTGCAGCAAAAATACATTTCTAACCATTGAGGTGAATTTAGGTGAAGAGGCAGCTGATAACAAATTGGGAATTTTGCTCCAAAGCATAATTATATACCATTTAGAATATATTTTATGTATTGGCAGGCATTATTCCATGTGACGAGATTGCGTACAGTATGTATTTTCTTATGAACTTGAAATAGCAGTCATCTATGCACACTCTTATTGCATTCTACCGGTGATGTACTTAGAAAATACTCTGTTATACAGCTTCATAATATACTCACCAACATTGAAAGCGCACCAGTCTTAAATTGCCCATATTTTCATCAAGATGGATTTCAGCATGACAATGGTCAATGAATATGACTAACATGAAGTCGAAGGGCATGTCTAGTTGAACAAATGCTTTAGAAACAAATTCATGTTCACAGTATGACTCTAAATTCCCAATCTCATCAACATGCAGCCACGCCATGGAAAAAGCTCACATTTCATTCTGAAATCATGCTGAATGTGACATTAAAAGCAGGTGTATGAGAAACGATTCTCATTGCTTCACTAACGATTGTGAAACGAGGACAGAGATACCGAGGTTAACACCTCACGAAAGGGAACGTGCACTAGGCATGATTCAGGTTGGCACCAGCAGCAGGGATATTACTCGACAACTTAGACTTGGCCACTTCACCATCGTTAGGCTACATAGACGACATCAGCAGACAGGCAACACCCGTGACCTTCCACGACCTTGGCAACAACGTGTCATGACGCCCGTCAGGATAGCCATATTGACCATGACCATATCCGTGATCGAACACTGCCGACTGCCAGGACTGCTGCACTAGTTCAAGGTCGACGCGGGGTCATCAGCGCTGACACCATGCGACGCCGTGTACACGCTACAGGGCTCCATGCTCGACACCCTTACGTTGGACCAATTCTGACTGACAGACACCATAATGAGTGTATACAATGGGCTAACAGGCATGTTCAGTAGACGTTACAACAATGGCATGGTGTGGTGGTCACTGACGAGTCACGTTTTCATCAACGTAATGCTCACGGCCGATTAAGTGTATGGCGTAGACGTGGTGAACGTTATGCTGATGAGTGTGTGGTTCAGACAGACCGTTGGGATGGTGGGAGTGTCATTGTCTGGGGTGGATTTAAGTTCCAGCCACAGGACTGCCTTCTTGTCTGTCAAGGGAGAGTTAATGCCCTTTACTATCGTGACCAGATACTTCAGAATCACGTCGTATCATTCTTCAATCACCACCAAGGTGTCTATACTTTTCAACAGGACAACGCACGGGCACACGCAGACTGACTTTCCATGCAGTATCTGGCCGAGCAACACATCCACGTAATTCACTGGCCAGCACTGTCGCCAGATGTATCCCCAATTGAGCACTTATCGGACGAAATTGGTCAAAGTCTTTCGCGGCGACAACAGGTGCGAAACACCCGGGAACGTGAGGCTGCACTACTGCAGAAGTGGAATGCTATCCTCCAGAACTCTATTCGGACGCTTATTGACTCAATGAGGAGACGTTGCACTGCATGCGTCAATGCAAATGTCGACCACACGCGATATTGATTTTTCGATTTGACCCCACGTGTGTTTGATCCTTTCTGACTGTGGAACAATTACATGAATGAGCGTCTTTTCTGTGTTGTTGTTTTTGTCAGTCGTTCATCTATTATTATCCGCTCAAAAAATATCAGTTCCTTTCACGTGCTTTTAGTAATCTGAAATTTTGTAAGTGGTGCGTTTTCAATGTTGTTGAATATATATTGATGCAGTGTTTAGGATAAATTGTGTTTGAAGCTAATGTTATTCCATGAAAAATATATCCCATAATCGGGTTATTAAATGTGATTTAATTCATGGTTAAATTACCTACCGTAACTATAAGAAGTAATAACTTTCATACTATGAATAAGTACATATCTCATGGATATTTAAGTTTGTCGTTTATATCAGCTTAGAGTGTATGTTTCATTCCTGGTTCAAGTATATAAGTACCCTGTGTGTTGTTTGTAGGGAAGGGATTACATGGGCAGCGTGAGGCAGTGTCTGACACAAGGCACCATACCCGCACTGCAGTACAATAACTGCGACAGAACGACGCAGCTCGTTGAAGACACTGTATTTGCGAGAGACAGCTGCATTGATCAGGACAACTTCTGTGATATGATATCCGCTCCCGAAAATGCAAAAAATATCGTCTACAGCTTCGGTCTTGCACACGAAAGTGACTTCCAGCAACGGTAAGTGATTGACGAATGTTGTTTTATGCCGCTTGATTTGTTATGTCACTGACGTCTAAAAGATTTTTTTTAACAAGATTGTATTTTTTCCCATGGTTACAAAGTCAACGTTAAAGGTATACAGTAACAAGAAACACAGGAAAAGTGAGTGAGTGAGTGAGTGAGTTTAGTTTTACGCCGCACTCAGCAATATTCCAGCTATATGTCGGCGGTCTGTAAATAATCGAGTCTGGACCAGACAATCCAGTGATCAACAGCATGAGCATCGATCTGTGCAATTGGGAACCGATGACATGTGTCAACCAAGTCAGCGCAACTGACCACCCGATCCCGTTAGTCGCCTCTTACGACAAGATAGTCGCCTTTTTATGGCAAGCACATGGGTTGCTGAAGACCTATTCTACCCCGGATCTTCACGGGTCACAGGAAAAGTGAGGATACATTGCTGTAAAGATGTAATTATATTTAGTTGCTGAATATTGGGATATGTGAATTCCATTTAAGATTGTATTTTTCAATTTCATTGTTTCTCTTTGAAATACATTTTTCTACAGAAAATATCTCTTTTAATACCTTTTTATAATCAGTGAATTTTGGCATTGACTTTTAATATTACATAAATTGATATGTTTTTTGGCAGAGATAATGATTTATTATGCAATGTACCAAACCAAATCAAATATTTTTGTAATGTTTATTTTTCATGGTATATATTTATTAATCCAAAGTCCTAGAGTTCTAATCCAGAATTTCATGCTTTCGCAACATTCTCAATAAACATGACAAATGCTCTCAGAAACATCATTGCAAAAACTACACAAATCATTGTCAATCAGATTCATTTTCGATAATTCGTTTTTAGTATCAATAACTCTTTGCAAACATCTGCATTGAAAATCAAGCAGGTTAACATTTCAATCCATGTCTATAGAAGTTAAAAATTCTACAAGACTTTGTCTGGAACAATCAAAAGACTGATTGTAGACACGAACAAAGATCCGATCAGTCACGTCACAGGGCTCTCTCTTTAGCCAATCTCAATGCAATGCTTTTAATGCAGTACTAAATATACCACGTTACTGTCCATATTAAACACATTGTTCAATTTCCTACTACCCGGGCCCATACCCGTGAAGATCCAGGTTAGAATTGGTCTTCAGTAACCCGTGCTTGTCATAGAGGTAACAACGTGATTAGGTGGTCAGGCTCGCTGACTTGGTTGACACATGTCATCGTATCCCAATGGCGTAGATCGATGCTCATGATGTTGATCACTGGATTGTCTGGTCCAGAGCCGATTATTAACAGATTTATTCCATATAGCTGGAATATTGCTGAGTGCGGCGTTAAACCACAAACCAGCTTCAAAGGCCCTATTCCACAAAGCGATCGAGGATCTACAGTCCGTTTGAGTCAGAAACGGACCGATGAATTGCAAATTTTATCATTGTACAAAATTGCCACATAAATATAAATAGTACACATGTTTATCATTTACTAATACCCAACAGCTTTCTTATATTTGAAAATTTTCCGGACTCCACCAAAAAAGTTCTTTAAGAAACTATCATTAAAGTTTTGACACAGTTCACTATTTGTTACGAGGGAGGAGTGCAGAGGAAGGGACAGCCAGGTGTTAGAGAAGCACGTGCACAAGTGCCCACCAAGTTATTGATTCATCTCGAACACCTGGCTGTCCCTTTCTCTGCACTCCTCCGGATCCCTCGTAACAAATAGTGAACTGTGTCAAAATTTTAATAATAGTTTCTTAAAGAACTTTTTGGGTGGAGTCTGGAAAATTTTCAAATATAATCACGTTTCTGACTCAAACGGACTGTAGTTTAGGTGTGTGAGCTACGATGGCCTTGAAGAATAGTTCCCAGTTTCTTATGCTTCCCTAACACGCGACAACTTACTCGGTCCGTCTCAGTGCAATCGGACCTTGTCAAACTCTGGTAGATGCCCATACTACCAGTGCGAAATAGTTTCCAAATTCTGCTATGCCTGAAAGTCACTAGCCCACAAAATAATTCACTAGCCCTAAATTTGCATGTAGAAACTAAGCCATAAGCCCTTAGGATCACCTACGTAGGACTTACTATCACCTACGTAGGACTTACTATCTCCTACGTAGGACATACTATCTCCTACATAGGACTTACTATCTCCAAAGTAGGACATACTATCTCCTGCGTAGGACTTACTATCATCTACGTAGGACTTACTATCTCATACGTAGGACATACTATCTCCTACATAGGACTTACTATCTCCTACGTAGGACATACTATCTCCTACGTAGGACATACTATTTCCTACGTAGGACTTACTATGACCTACGTAGGACTTACTATCACCTACGTAGGACTTACTATCTCCTACGTAGGACTTACTATCTCCTGCGTAGGACATACTATCTCCTACGTAGGACTTACTATCACCTACGTAGGACATACTATCTCCTGCGTAGGACTTACTAAGACCTACGTAGGACTTACTATCTCCTACGTAGGACATACTATCTCCTGCGTAGGACTTACTATGACCTACGTAGGACTTACTATCTCCTACGTAGGACTTACAATCACCTACGTATGACTTACTATCTCCTACGTAGGACATACTATCTCCCGCGTAGGACTTACTATGACCTACGTAGGACTTACTATCTCCTACGTAGGACTTACAATCACCTACGTATGACTTACTATCTCCTACGTAGGACATACTATCTCCTACGTAGGACATACTATGTCCTGCGTAGGACTTACTATGACCTACGTAGGACTTACTATCTCCTACGTAGGACATACTATCTCCTACGTAGTACTTAATATATCCTTTTTAAGGTTCGGATTATGAAGTATGGTTATTAAGTTGAGTAATGTTTGGCTATGCAGGACGTTAGATAGTAGAAATGTGAGTCAGTGAACATTCATGACACTAACGCAGTGTTACTATACATTGTGTGTGTGTTACGTTAGGGTGACGTGGACCCTGTTCTAACTGCAGTTATGGAGGTTTGGGTATGGCTATGATTAATCTATCATACATACATCTATTCTCTCTCTCTCTCGCTCTCTCTCTCTCTCTCTCTCTCTCTCTCTCTCTCTCTCACACACACACACACACACACACACACATACACACACACACAGAGGTGGTTGGGGTGAGGTTCTGATATGAAACTCGGGTTATAACACGACCTCCGCAAGTTGTTGCTTGTCTTCAGATGGGGCTAGTTGGATCGGATGCAACGCTCGTTTGCGGCTCGTTTTTTCGTAATTGTTTACAGCTTGACTTGACTGGGGTGAAAAGTGTTGAGTGCGGCGTAAAACAATACAAAATTCAAAAAGGCAAAGAATTGTCATTATTGTTATTTGTATAATTATATGGGGATACGTACACATAGATTGCCACCGATAGTCTAAGATACGTCTGTACACGCAGATTATCATTCATGTGCAACGACCTTTGAAATATCCAACGCATATAATAGTAAAGTGTAACAAACTGCAACATAGAACAGTGAACTAACTGCAACGCGTAATAGTAGACTAACAGTGACTGAAACAGCGAAGCAGGAGATTGTGTGCGTGCCTGGGGATTTAAGTCGACCATTTCAGATTAATGTTTATAAACGTATATCGATCATCTCCAACAGGAGATACTAAGTCCTACGTAGGAGATACTATGTCCTACGTATTTATATGTAGGAGATACTAAGTCCTACGTAGGAGATACCCACTTAGGATATACTAAGTCCTACGTAGGAGATACTAAGTCCTACGTAGGAGATAGTAAGTCCTACGTAGGAGATACTATGTCCTACGTAGGACTTAGTATCTCCTACGTGGGAGAAACCCACTTAGGGGATACTAAGTCCTACGTAGGAGATACTAAGTCCTACGTAGGAGAAACCCACTTAGGAGATACTATGTCCTACGTAGGAGATAGTAAGTCCTACGTAGGAGATATTAAGTACTACGTAGGAGATAGTAAGTCCTACGTAAGAGATGCTTAGTCCTACGTAGGAGATAGTAAGTCCTACGTAGGAGATACCCACTTAGGAGATACTATGTCCTACGTAGGAGATACTAAGTCCTACGTAGGAGATAGTAAGTCCTACGTAGGATATACTATGTCCTACGTAGGACTTAGTATCTCCTACGTAGGAGATACTATGTCCTACGGAGGAGATAGTAAGTCCTACGTAGGAGATATTAAGTACTACGTAGGAGATAGTAAGTCCAACGTAAGAGATGCTTAGTCCTACGTAGGAGATAGTAAGTCCTACGTAGGAGATACTACGTCCTACGTAGGAGATACCCACTTAGGAGATACTAAGTCCTACGTATGAGATGCTAAGTCCTACGTAGGAGATAGTAAGTCCTACGTAGGAGATGCTATGTCCTACGTAGGAGTTAGTATCTCCTACGTAGGAGATAGTAAGTCCTACGTAGGAGATATTAAGTACTACGTAGAAGATAGTAAGTCCAACGTAAGAGATGCTTAGTCCTACGTAGGAGATAGTAAGTCCTACGTAGGAGATACTACGTCCTACGTAGGAGATACGTAGGAGATACTACGTAGGAGATACTACGTCCTACGTAGGAGATACCCACTTAGGAGATACTAAGTCCTACGTATGAGATGCTAAGTCCTACGTAGGAGATAGTAAGTCCTACGTAGGAGATAGTAAGTGCTACGTAGGAGATAGTAAGTCCTACGTAGGAGATAGTAAGTCTCGTAGGAGATAGGGAGATACTACATAGGGACTTAGGAGATACTAAGTCCTACGTAGGAGATACCCACTTAGGAGATACTAAGTCCTACGTAGGAGATACCCACTTAGGAGATACTATGTCCTAAGTAGGAGATAGTAAGTCCTACGTAGGAGATGCTTAGTCCTACGTAGGAGATATTAAGTCCTACGTAGGAGATGCTTAGTCCTACGTAGGAGATACTAAGTCCCACTTAGGAGATACTAAGTCCTACGTATGAGATACCCACTTAGGAGATACTAAGTCCTACGTAGGAGATACTAAGTCCTACGTATGAGATACCCACTTAGGAGATACTATGTCCTACGTAGGAGATAGTTAGTCCTACGTAGGAGATATTAAGTCCTACGTAGGAGATAGTAAGTCCTACGTAGGACATAGTTAGTCCTACGTAGGAGATAATAAGACCAACATTTTTTTTCACTGTGGCCCTACTACGCTTCCGTAATTCTTCAACTGTATGACTGAATTATGTTCAGTCCGGAATAACATCCACTGCTGACGAAAGTGTCATGCATGAGCGGAAAAACGGTACAGTACCGTGTGGTAATAGTCCATATTTAACTGAAGTAATACTATGATAATGCATTTTTTTCATGACGAATTTTCATTCTAGGCTAATATACAAACTTTCAATATATTTCCAGCCTTCTTTCTAAATTCAATGACCTCCTCGATTCATGTGGCAGTGATGCAACGGATGTATTTGAATCTGCAGTCACTGGTGGAGGTGGAAATGGAAACGGAGGAAGTGGTGGCAATAGAGGTGGAAATGGTGGAAACAGAGGAGGAAATAATGGTGGAAATAGAGGGGGAAATGGTGGAAATAGAGGAGGAAATAATGGTGGAAGCAGAGGAGGAAATACTGGTGGAAGCAGAGGAGGAAATACTGGTGGAAGCAGAGGAGGAAATACTGGTGGAAGCAGAGGAGGAAATAATGGTGGAAATAGAGGAGGAAATGGAGGTCGAGGTGGAAGTGGAACAGGAAGTGGTGGACGAGGAACAGGTGGAAACGGTGGAAGTGGAGGTAGTACAGGAGGCAATGGAGGCTACGGTGGAGGCTATGGCGGAGGCAATGGCGGAAGCAGAGCAGAGGGAAATAATGGTGGAAGCAGAGGAGGAAATAATGGTGGAAATAGAGGAGGAAATACTGGTGGAAATAGAGGAAATGGTGGAAGCAGAGGAGGAAATGGAGGCTATGGAGGAGGCAATGGAGGCCGCGGTGGAGGCAATGGAGGCTATGGCGGAGGCAATGGAGGCCGCGGTGGAAACGAAACAGGAAGTGGTGGTAGTGCAGGAGGCAATGGAGGCTACAGCGGAGGAAAATGAGGCCGTGGTGGAGGAACTGGAGGTCGAGGTGGAAGTGGAACAGGAAGTGGTGGACGAGGAACAGGTGGAAATGGTGGAAATAGAGGAGGAAATGGAGGTCGAGGTGGAAGTGGAACAGGAAGTGGTGGACGAGGAACAGGTGGAAACGGTGGAAGTGGAGGAAGTACAGGAGGCAATGGAGGCTAGTGGAGGAGGCAGTGGTGGAAGTGGAACAGGAAGTGGTGGAAGAGGAACAGGAAGTGGTGGACGAGGAACAGGAAGTGGTGGACGAGGAACAGGAAGTGGTGGACGAGGAACAGGAAGTGGTGGACGAGGAACAGGAAGTGGTGGACGAGGAACAGGAAGTGGTGGACGAGGAACAGGTGGAAACGGTGGAAGTGGAGGAAGTACAGGAGGCAATGGAGGCTACGGTGGAGGCTACGGCGGAGGCAATGGCGGAAGTGGAACAGGAAGTGGTGGAAGAGGAACAGGAAGTGGTGGACAAGGAACAGGAAGTGGTGGACGAGGAACAGGAAGTGGTGGACGAGGAACAGGAAGTGGTGGACGAGGAACAGGAAGTGGTGGACGAGGAACAGGAAGTGGTGGACGAGGAACAGGTGGAAACGGTGGAAGTGGAGGTAGTACAGGAGGCAGTGGAGGCTTCGGCGGAAGTGGAACAGGAGGTGGTCGAAGTAAGTGAAATGTTACAATTTTAAGGCTCGTAAGTAATATCACGACAATAAAACAGCTCAAAAGAAGTCTTCAATCACAACCAATGTCGGAATGGAACTGAAACCAAAGCATGTAGCCTGTCGAACACATGTATGTAATGCTGCATGTCCTAGATTCCGAAACGTGTAGGATGATCAAATATGTACATGTACTCAAAGGGAAAAGTTGTGATTGACTTGAAGTTAGATATGTGAATTAACAACTGATATTTTTATGATGAGACTTTTTGAATATTGCAAAACAATACTTTCTACAATCGTATTGCAAATGGCACATTTGAAACCTTTCTGGCGGACACATGCTAATGAAGTCATTGTGAGAAAACGGTCAAAATGAAATTCACACAGTCAATAACCTGTATGTCCATCATGAGCATTGATGCTTGCTTGACACCTGCGCTTCATAGTGCGAATCAAACGTCGCAAGAAGTCTTGTAGAATGGCTTTCCATACCTGGGTAAGCACCTGGCGGAGGTCCTGAAGCGTGACTGGGACATTTGGCCAATGTCTCAATCTCCTCTCCATTTCGTCCCAGACGTGTTCGATAGGGGACAGATCGGGTTTGTCCATCAGCGCTGTGCGAGAGGAATCTGGACCCGTCAGTAAACAGAACATGTCTCCACTTACGTGCTCTCCACCACAGATGTCTGCACCACTGCAGTCGTAGACATTGGTGACATAATGTCAAAATTTGCCGTCTGGCAGGACGTCTACCACGTATCCCGTGTGCAGCCAGCCGCCGGCGAATGGTCCTTGGCGATATCCTGTTGCTACCAGGAACTGTTCGGGCTGTCAGTGTGGCTGGTTGGAATCTTTGGCACAGATGGGTGGTTCGAATCCAACGATCGTTGCGTGGAGTGGTTACAGGTGGACGGCCGCCTAGGGGACGGTCTGCAACGACGGCGTTTTGTTGATAACGTCTCCACAAGCGGCAGATTTTGTTCATGTGGACGTTAAAATGCTGTGCAACGCTGTGCTGGGGTGTTCCGGTTTCAAGCATTCCAATGGCTCGCCATCTTTCATTTTCGGTTAGACGTGGCATAGAGAAATGTAAGCAGATTCTTCCAAATTTGTGTTTTCTGGACCCGTCGATGTCTTAACAATGATTTGGGTGACAATGATTCGAGGTTTAGATCCACACTTATAAGAGGCCATGTTTTATGCCTTTTTTCAACGCATTTCTTGAAAGCTCGAACATCGCATGTAAAACAAAAACTCCCGACAGGGCCCTGTTTGGGTTATGGATTAAGTGTAATATAAACAAGATTAAAGTGCATTATAAAAATGTGTTGATCACACTAACTTTTGCCTTTGAGTATATTTTCAATATTGAATTGCCGTCCATATATGTAATAAGGTTTGGTTACTTTCAGGCTGCTCTCAAATGGCTGAGGATGGTTCTTGTGATTTTTACACTGACCCATTTTGCTTCCAAGCAACCCTCAACACATGCCGTGTTTCGGCCGTGTGGGGTATGCAGATTTGTCAACAGTCTAACATCATCGGCACTGCTTTTTCCGAACCAGTAAGTTACATGCAGGATTTACATTACAAGTATTTGTCATTTGCTCATTATACGCGTTAAGTGCACAACATATCATAATTATTCTTATTTGCTATCTAACCGGTGTTTTAGGAACTTAAGGGGATTTTTAACAGGTTACATGCAGGATTTAATTTATTCATATTCATTGTCATACTGTGTGTCAAATCCTCCCAGAAGTGTCATTACATCTGAGTTTATTTGTCGAAGTCATTTGTGTGATACCTCCAGAATTTATGTGTGTATGCAATACATAATGTAGGCCCGTTACTGTTTTTCGTCCTATGCCAAACAGATAGCAATGATCCCAATCAAACGTGAATCGGTGTATATATTAATAACAGCATTGTCGGTATCACTATGTCAGATTCTGTCTATTCAAATTTGCTTTGAAAATGGCAAACAGTTGATGTTATTTTTCATTTGCGATTCACTCTCGAGAGTCCACAGTATACTTGAATCTGTTGAGGTGAACCCAGCTTTAAACAGTACTACTATAGTATTTCGGTTACGATTGTGTCACGACCCAGTCAGTAAAAGCAATAGAGTAACGAACTAGCTAACAATTGTATTCTAAAATTAACTAAGTTCATAAACTAATACAAATCACTACAAATGAATAACAGTGGCGACCCGTGAAGATCCGGGTTAGAATTGATCTTCAGTAACCCATACTTGTCGTAAGAGGCGACTAACGGGATCGGGTGGTCAAGCTCGCTGACTTGGTTGGAGCATGTCATCGTATCCCAGTTGAGTAGACCGATGCTCATGCTGTTGATTACTGGATTGTCTGGTCCAGACTCGATTATTTACAGACCGCCACCATATAGCTGGAATATTACTGAGTGCGGCGTAAAACTAAACTCACTGACTCACTATTACAGTGGAGGTACAAATTCAAAGGCAGTATGATATAAAAGCAATTTTATAGACAGAGATGGTAATATAAGCTCAATGAGACAAAGTATCAAAGTAAGAATAATCGTTGGTCTTCTAGTAGCTTGAGATGCAAGATGAGACGACAGTCAACAGTTATCGCTCCTGGGTACAAATAAAAGCCCAAATGTGCAGATGGTGATAGTTACAAAGGCTTAGACATTCAAATCTCTTTCAAAACTTAACACCTGCTAGAGTATATACCGACAACAAGCATCTTATTGAAAAACACTCCTTTGTCCTCCTTATTGTACAGAATATAATTGCAAGGGTTGCCTGATGACCACCAAAATAAAAAAGTGAGATGTAATTTGATGTAATTGAAAAAGTAATTGAAAAATTCAATTACATTGAGATTTTAATTAATTAAATTACAATTACAAATTACATTTTAAACATTCAATTACAAATTACATGCAATTACATAGATTTCTGTAATTAATTACATTCAATTACAATTACAAATTACAATTACCCCATGTCTGCAAGAAGATAAGTCCCTGAATCAGAACATAGTAAAAAGGCCCTAAGGGTTGTAGTACTTGCAGTACGTCCTAGAACTCTGTCTATAAATAGCAAAAGTCTAAATATAGCACATCTCTGCCCCCTTACAACACCATAGAATCAACCTCGAACATTCAATTTTTTTGCACAATGGATAGCGCTGTCATTTAACATATGCCAATAATAGTTAATGACTATGCTGATACTAATAATTTACTACGATAAAACTGAAGAATTGGTGATATTACCAATGAATTATCATAACGCTGATGACGTTCTGTGATAATGACAATCAATTTTCATGATAACACCCCTATAAGACCATGGCAATAAAGACACACTGTGGAGAATCATAACTACCAATGAATTAATGTTATAATACCCATAAATTGCTATGGTAAGTACAGACGAAGACTTTTAGGAGCCATGCTTTGGCACTTTGGCACTTTGGCACCCGAGCTGCTACTGTAATTAGGCAATGTCATTAGAAGCAGGAAGAAGATGAAATCTGAAAACCTCTGTCAGTCACACATGTGTGTTAGTCCAGACGCCATTACCAAAACTGTCTCGACTGATCATGTTTTCTGGTTTTCTTCAGGCTGCCGAATACATGCTCAGTGTCAGGAAGTGCATGACAGGGACATTGTCAGGAATGCTTGAAAACCCTGTCTGTGGAATCGTTGAAGACGTGGCTGAAAGTAGTCTCACCACAACCGACGGCTGCATAAATCAAGATGGTTTCTGTGAAGTCATGTCAGATTCCGCAGACGCAAGAAACCTGTATCTCATCTTTGGCCTTCCTCACCCCAGTGACTTCCAGGCGAAGTAAGATGACCATAAGCTATTCATCCGCATCCCTTAATAGTAATGTTTTGGAGCAGGATGACATCGTAGGCTAGTCATTACCACATAAAGGCCCACCTCAGATGGTAACAACTACCATGGACAATTACACAATGCCATTTAGAAAGTGGTCAAATGTAACATATGTTATATTTGGGATTACACTGTCTTAGTAAAGCACATATTCTAGTACTTTTGGTGCTGAGTCCCATCCGGGATTCGAACCCACACCCTCAGAGTCCCCGCGACTTCCACAAGAATGGAAGTCGGACAACTGCTAGCCTGCGGACAACTAAGAAAGTGTAATCCCAAATATAACATATGTTACAACTACCATGGATGTGTAAAACCATAATTGTCACACGTTAAAAGAGAATCATTAGGAGCATTTCCATAACCATACGAATCTGTGTTCGACCTTCGCCTATTCTTTTCTTTTGAAGACATAGAGAGTCAACATGGATTCTGATGCATGGTACTGTAAATCATAGTGCCGTCGGTTCCTCCCCGCTGTATCCATGTCAATACTAGATTTGGTTATTAAACCTTCTCTTAGTGGTAATATTCGTTATGGGTGGATGGGTATTAGGATATTTGTCAGTTGAGGATATTAGTCAGTTGGAAAGCATAATTTCGTTCAAGCATCTCCTGATATTGGCTTCGCGGCTATGTCTGTTTTCCGTCATGTTCCTTCTGATTGCAGGCTTTTGCAAGTGTTCAATGACCTCATCAGAACCTGCCCTAGTGATGCTCAGGACACGTATGATAATCTAGTCAACTCGTTCGGTGGAGGAAACAATGGAAACCAAGGAAACAACGGAGGGCGTGGAAACCAAGGGAACAATGGAGGAAGAGGTGGCAACGGAGGAAACAATGGAGGCAGAGGTGGCAACGGAGGAAACAATGGAGGAAGAGGAGGCAACAGAGGAAACAACGGAGGGAATGGAAACCAAGGAAACAATGGAGGAAGAGGTGGCAACGGAGGAAACAATGGAGGAAGAGGTGGCAACGGAGGAAACAGTGGAGGAAGAGGTGGCAGAGGAGGAAACAATGGTGGATTCCGAACGACCACGATGATGATGATGATGGGTGGAGCTGGTGGCGACTAGACGCGTCACCAAATTGCGATAAAGACATTGCCCACTGAATATCATTAACGAATATGACACAACATGATGCTTGACTGTTTTCAGATGCTTGGAAATCACCATTAATGACCTGGTGCTACAAAGCAAATTCTTTCACGAATCTCGTTGTCCTCATGATTTCAAGTTGATAAACACTTACTATAGAAATATGAAACATGTTTGTTTATTTTCGTTGAAATGAGACTCTGGGTTGTTGGGATAATTTTTGTCGAAGATAAATCACTGGTAATAGTCACTGATACGTTCGGGCATAATTCTTGTCACTTTATTTGCATTTATATATTGTTATATACATATATATACATATAGCAAAGCAATAAACCTTTGACCATGAAATGATTCTTCCAGTACTTTAATACTAACCTTTGGAGTCAATACCCAAATCACATCCTTGTAATATATTTGGGAATACGTAAATATTGCGACTGGTTCTGAGTCAAAGGGCTTGTCGTTGATGACTTGAATCATCAGCATTTATCCTCACATGGTATATAAGTGTGTGTGGATGTTTCTGTGGTCTTTCGCGACGCGTCACTGACAGCATTCCACACCGTCAGAGTACGATCACAAGCAATGTACCTGTCTAGCCAGATATGCCATCAGACCCATAGAGATGTCCTCTTCCAACAAGCATAAGGCAGTCCATGTTTTCTACCTGTTTTTCGTGTGTGTGTGTGCGTGCGTGCGTGCGCGCGCGCGCGTGTGTGTGTATGTGCGTGTGTGTGTTACATCACCCACCCGCTTTGAAATTTTCATTCCTAAATATTCAAAAGTTTTCCTACCTCTTATTTCCATACCGCAAAGGAAATTAATGTCTGATGTAATAACAATTTTGTTTCATTGTGCACACATACAGGTCAGCTTGACCTTTCTTCGTCAAATTTACAAATCAATGTTTTTGAAGCAAACCGAGTCGGTCTACATCTTCGATGTATTTAAAAACTGATCGAAATACTAAAATGTTATGCAAAATGTGTTACACAATTCGTGAAAAACGTGTTATATACTTGGCACATAAAGAAACTGTGCATACAAAAATTTAAAATCTAAATTTATCAAACCTGTGTAGACACATAAGGATTTAAACTCAGAGATTAGTGACATGAATCCAACATGCATGCACGTACCACGTTCCGTGACGTCAGTGGGTTCGTCCTTGAGACGTGCAATACGTTGTTGCACGTGCATTCCGGGAAAGAGAAACAGAGCTAATAAATGCCACACAATACAGTCACTTTGGAAAGCTCAACCCCTGCCCTTGCGATCGTTCAAAAAATTAAACGGCTATTGAAACGCATAGCATGCCAAGGCTCAGGTCTGCACAACGTCATGAGGCCATTGGGATGGTACGTGGGGGAATGTCTCAACGACAAGTGGCTGCACATTTCCACGGCCACCGGAACACCATTTCTGCACTGGTGAGAGGCTACCAGAACAGAAATGACGTCATCGATCGGCCACGTTCTGGACGTCCACGTGTAACAACGCCAAGACAGGACAGATGGATGAGGGTGACCCATCTTCGCCACAGGTTTCAGACTGCAGTGATGACTGCCCGAACCATCCCAGGACTTCGCCGTATCCACCCCAACACAGTTCGACAACGTTTACGTCATCACGGGATCAGACCACGACGTCCCACCATACGGCCTATCCTGACACAACGTCATCGACAAGCTCGCCGAATGTGGTGCCGAAATCATGTCCGCAGATACTTGTTTTGGTGGAGAAATGCTGTTTTTACAGATGAGTCCAGGTTTAACATTTCCAATAGTGATGGACGTCAACGTGCCTATAGACGCGTGGGAGAACGTTATGCACAAGCCTGTGTCTTGGAGAGGAATGGCTTTGGTGGTGGTTCCGTGATGATTTGGGGTGGAATAACAGCACGCCAAAGAACTCCTTTGGTGATTGTTCAGGGCAACTTAACTGGTGTGGGCTACAGGGATCAGATTCTTCGACCTGTGGCAATTCCTTTTCTGCAACGTCATGGCCCTGGGTTAACATTCCAACAGGACAATGCCCGCCCTCATACGGCAAGGGTTGCTATGGATTTCTTGCAACACCACAACGTTGACTTACTGCCTTGGCCTGCAAATTCACCGGATCTCTCCCCGATAGAGCATGTTTGGGACGAGATGGATTGACTTCTACGCCGTCTTCCTCATCCGCCAGATAACGTCCTTGACCTTGCAACAGAGCTTGAGAGAATCTGGCGTGACATCCCACAAGCCATCCTTGCACGTTTGATAGGCTCTATGCGTCGTCGATGCACTCCTGTTTTCAATGCCGATGGTGGACATACCCGTTATTGAGCTTGTGACATGGTCGTTTGACCCCTGTCCCGCTTCTGGACTCTCCCGACTTGTTATGGTCTCATGATCCCTCCATTGCAGTTTATATGTACCTTTGACATTGTTATCGTACTTATCAACTGGGATAATATTTTGACAATGCACAGTTTCTTTATGTGGCTACTATATATAATTCTTCTTTTTTGTTTCGCCGGCCAGTTGTCTTGCCGGTTAAGGGCGGAGATGATAATCACACAAAATTGTACGGATGGCCAAAAATGGAATTTATGTGTTTAGAAGAGTGAATGGTCCCTGAATTTGCGAAACACGTAGGAAATTAACATAAATATCACCGATTCCGTATCCACGCAACAGTGATTAACACACATTCCTTGGCAGCAGATTTGAAATGTTGGTTTGAAGATACGGTCCATTTAATGTTAGTTGCACTCAGCAATATTCCAACGGTCTGTGAATAATCGAGTCTGGACCATACAATCCAGTGATCAACATCATGAGCATCGATCCATGCAGTTGGGATACAATGGCATGTGGCAACCAAGTCAGCGAGCCTGAACACCCTATCGACGGCTCTTATAATAAGCACGGGCTGCTGAAGACATATCCTGACCCGGATCTACGCGGGATGTAGACATGGTTTAATACGAGAAGACTCATATGTTGTAGAAGACGAGGCCACAGATGTTGTGTAGCAAAAACCAAAAGATGTGAAAACATAAGATGTGTATTTCAGAATTTTGAATGCTACTTTGCATAGTGAATACCTCAACACACTACTTCGCGGTTGGGTAGCCTAGCAGTCGAAGTGTTAGATTGGCCACATGGGTACGCTGTGTGCGCCCCACTTCTGATATCGCCCGCCGTGATATTTCTGAAATATTCCGGTGAAAGAGGATTATCACTCACTCACTCATTCATTAGAATTTACCGCCTACATTTTTCAAGTGACATGACTCTCCTGCTATTTTATGTCTATTATCAACTGTTCAGGTCAAATACTTCATTGATCTATATTATAAATTCCATAACTTCGTTCGATATTGTCAAGATTTGAAAAAGGGTGGGAGTGTATGAATAGTGAATAATTATGAAACTTTAGAAAAGATTTATAACCGGGGATGAATCCAGTTTGTAAAACAGAATGCGTTTAATGATTTTCAACACTGGCCATTGCCGTAAAGGGCAACTGCGTGGGAACATATTGGCTAAATGCTCTGGAAAACTATACAACGTTTTGACGTACAGCCGCAGCGCATGACGGCAGTTTTAAAATTATTAAACGTTCTCCAAGTTCACCAGACTGGGCTTCGTCAGATTTCCACCAGTTTCAAACCTTGGAGAAAGAAGTGTCTAGCAAGCATCATGATGACGCCATTTCAGTTGCGGACAGCTTTTCAAACCTCCAGGAGGAAGCGTTTTACAACATTAGAACAGAGGCACTCAAGCATCGTTGGCGTACACTCCAGCATAGCTAGCATAAATGTGTGGATCACAGAAAATATTTAAAAATAGCACGCAAATTAGCCCCCTATCAACTTACTATATCGTATTACGATTAATCAATAATACATTTGTTTGCACAAAATATATTATTATACAAACTGGCTTCACATGGAAGCATAACACATTAACGCGACAAAACCATTTCCGTAATTAAGGAAAATTTCTCCTAAATGCACATCCCATTGTCCATTTTAAATTGCAGCATAAACTAGTAATTATGGATCAAACAGTTGTGAGATATCCTGCCCGACGGGCGAAGTCCGACATAAAACATTGTGTTCCTCAGTTTTGCTTGTGAATTGTTTTGTTAAAATTGTTGAAATACTGTAATATTTATACTTACATTATGGAAATAAGTACATTCTCTTTTATTTGATTCATAACGATAAATCCATGAACCTATTTTGCAAAATAACTCATTTTGTGTAAGTAAAATTCTGAATTCAAACCTTCCGTATAATGGTGTGGATGGGGATAGGATGGCTGCAACACCTAGATTGGTATAAAGCTGCTTGTTCTAGTCCTTGCTGACGCAGGGTTTCTAGTCATAGACAGTGAGATACCATACAGCAGTGTAACTTGAATACCCCACTCAAAGCACTCTCAACGTACCAGTCGTTGTGCTACCACAAACATACCGAACGCCAGACAAGGAACAAACAAATACCCTATTTTTACGGCGACGGCGATACAACCGACCTTCTGCTCTTTGCATATGACGACGTGCATGCGTGTGGATGTGTGGCTGCTTGTACTAGCCCAGGTGAGGTGAGGTGACAGTGGGTTTTACGTCGTGCTTGAGAATATTTCGCTCATATGACGACGTGCATGCGTGTGTATGTGTATGTGTGGCTGCTTGTATTAGCCCAGACTTCAGATGGTTTTATAGTGCTAGCTCACTGACATACCATGCCGCAGTGAAGCATGAATACCCCACTCAGACACATTATACTGACTCCGAGCCAACCAGTCCTTGTTTTGCCCATTAATGCCCAGCGCCAGACAGGGAACAACAAGTACCATAGTTAAACGTCTTTTGGTATGATGCGGCGGGGATCGAACCCGCGACTTTCCGCTCTCTCTAACCACTACACCACGGAGGCGGTCAAATCAATAGACCAGTGAGCTTGTAGACTTATGTCAGAAACAACAACTTGGGCACATATTCTCTCCCCAGTACTAGTTGACTCTTAACTGTATCGATTGTTACCCGACATTATCTATACATGATTCATGTAATGTTTATAAATATATTATAATATTGGTATCTTATCTGTACATCCTGTAGCTATATTACTTTAAGCCGTATGTATCACGGCTCTGTATATCTGTGATATTGTAATCTGGGGACCCCCCAACGCCCCCCCCCCAAAAAAAAAACAAACAAACAACAAACAAACAAACAAAACAAACAAAAACAAACAAACAAACAAACAAACAAACAAACAAAACAAACAAAAACAACAACAACAACATAAAACAAAAACCAAAAAAACATAATAATAATGCAATGGTTCTGAATTATGACAAACATATGACAGCTGCCACTGCACAAATAAGCCTAGTTGTACAAGCGTCTAAATGTCTTGTAAAGATTAGATTTACGGATGCCCAATGACATGTACATGTCAAGTATATTCTACAAGTCGTTGGTGGCGACTAACCTCCAGGAGAATGCCAAACAAAACAGTGAAAGGCCATCGTTTAGCATCCTCAGTAAACAATTATTACCAAGCATTAGGCATTCTCGAAGTAATTAACGCACTTTTCTACTTTTCAACCGCATAGTGTTTAACAGTGACACACATTATAAAAACATGTGTATACACACACTGAGACCAAAGCCCCTTTTTGGGTGAAAAAGAGTGTAACTAATCACGTTTCACTGTATTTTGCAAAGTCAACTAGAAAATTTCTTCATAAAAATTCATTTGGCTGGCCCTCCCAACCGCACAGTATAAATTGGGAGCCACAGATTTCTGCGCGACTTTCAACTGATGTCATCATGAGATTACCGTTACTTCTGGTGCTTGTGGTCTTCACTATTGGAGTGTCCTGTGGCTATAGTTCATCGAGACGGACCAGAAAGCCGCAGTACCACGGTGGCAGGACTACTGGCGTGATCAACGGAAGATACAGCGGAAGGAATACCGGTTCTTACATTGGCAAAACCATTCGTCGGCCCTCAGGAAGTATTACTGGACGTTGGGGTAGTACCGGCGGCTACTCTAGCAGCAATGGTGGCCTATGGGGAAGACTCCTTAATGGGAGATACCCCAGTCACGGCAATATAGGAAGACCAGGTTATAACTATGGAAGAAGACCCGGCTCAAGCTATGTGAGGATATCCAGACCATACTATCCTAGCAGCGGTTATGGAGGAAGATATGTCGGCTCAAACACTGGTGGGTACATAGGTGGTGGATATGGAAGAACACCTGGGCACAATAATAAAGGAAGATTCATCCAAAGCTATGGAGGAATACCCAAGCCCCCTGGAACAGGAAAACCTCGTCCCAGCTATGGAGGGGGACCTGATTCCAACAATGGCGGGAGACCCGGGACGGGAACTGGTGGCTACCCAAGCGGCAGTAACGGAGGAACAAAACCCGGAACCAATTTTGGTGGAAGACCCGGAACTGGAAATGGTGGCTACCCAAGCGGCAGTAACGGGGGTACAAAACCCGGAACCAATTTTGGTGGAAGACCCGGAACTGGAAATGGTGGCTACCCAAGCGGCAGTAACGGGGGTACAAAACCCGGAACCAATTTTGGTGGAAGACCCGGAACTGGAAATGGTGGCTACCCAAGCGGCAGTAACGGAACAAACCCGGTACCAAACAGGAAGACCGGAACTGGAAATGGTGGCTACCCAAGCGGCAGTAACGGAGGTACAAAACCCGGAACCAATTTTGGTGGAAGACCCGGAACTGGAAATGGTGGCTACCCAAGCGGCAATAACGGAGGAACAAAACCCGGTACCAATTTTGGTGGAAGACCCGGAACTGGAAATGGTGGCTACCCAAGCGGCAATAACGGAGGAACAAAACCCGGTACCAATTTTGGTGGAAGACCCGGAACTGGAAATGGTGGCTACCCAAGCGGCAGTAACGGAGGAACAAAACCCGGTACCAATTTTGGAGGAAGACCTGGCACCGTCAATGTGAGACCCCCAAGCGGCAGTGGAGGTGTATACGGTACCAATAGCGGAATTGACTATGGTAAGTTCATGTAAGTTGAAATTGTGAAAGATTGTGCAATTGCAATCAGCCAATCCACATATATATCTAAAATGCTGCCTATATTTTCAAACAATATGTCGCTACTTTCAGAACGCTGCTCTCAGTTGGCCGATAAAGGTTCCTCTGATTTCTTCACTGGACCATATTGTTTACAAGTAACACTCAAAACCTGTCGTCTACCCCGTGGGGTCGTCACGCAGATCAACCCACAACTTAATACCCTCCTACCTTCCTTTACCGGTCAAGTAAGTTTCGTGCACGATTATACCTTTTTTTGTCTAAAATAATGTTTGTGAAATTAATCCGAACAGGTTAAAATCAAACAATTTCCTTTCAATATATAGGATGAGTCGCCGCTGTTAGGGTCGTTTTAGAAGCTGCAAGGGAAGCTTCCCTCCGACCCCCTCAAAGCTTTATGATCGTGGCTTCGAGTTTTTGGCCTTGTACCAATTATGCCTGTAGGTTGGGCAGCAGCTTATCCGTGCTGATGTGTTTCATCAATGTGGTAAACGTCAAAGATCTGATTGTTTGATGGGCATTCTAGAAGTAAGTGACTCAAAAATGAGTCAAGCATGGGTTACTGAAGATCAATTTTAACCCGGATCTTCACGGGTGATAATAAATGAGTGAGCTGAGTTTAACGTCACCTGAACGTCAGTCTAATGGAGGAGAAAAGCCCGAAGTAAAGCAGATCTTTGACTCAAAAATGAAACATACAACTTTATGGATGACAACTTGCTTTTTATTGCATAGAGCGACGTTTCGATGTAGATTCTTACATCGTTACCAATCTAAAATAGCTTGATAACGATGTAAAAATCTACATCGAAACAGCTTGAAATTGTTTGATTGTTTGATTGTCATGAGTACGGCGAAAAACTACATTCACTTACTCACTATTTAAAAAAAAATGAAATTAACGTAAATATTATAACCATAATACAATTATGTTAGCCCGGACGTCTTGACCAATGTGTGTCTCGTTTGACCATGTTCACGTTTGACAGGCTGCTGACTATATGTTCAATGTGAGGAGGTGTATCACTAGGAGGCTGTTGCCGACACTAGAGGAACCTAACTGTAACACCCTACTGCAGAAGGCTAAGGGCAGCCTCACCGACACAGGCAGCTGCATAGACCAAGAAGGTTTCTGTACCGTTATGTCTGATGCCGAAGACGCAAGAAACCTGTATCTCATCTTTGGACTTTCAAATCCTAGTGACTTCCAGGCACGGTAAGATGCTCCTCTTACTCTTAATAGCAAGTTGAAAGAAACCTGTATATTATCTAGATCTTTAGTCTCCCCCTTCAACTGGCTAGCGTCCGCCCGGAGGGCGGAAGGTTGCGGGTTCGATCCCCGCCGCGTCATACCAAAAGACGTTAAACTATGGTACTTGTTGGTCCCTGTCTGGCGCTCGGCATTAATGTGTACAACGAGGACTGGTCGGCTCGGAGTCAGTATAATGTGTCTGAATAGGGTGTTCATGCTTAACTGCGGCATGGTATGTCAGTGAGCGAGCGTCTGGGCTAGTACAAGCAGCCATACATACACGCGTATGCACGTCGACATATGTACGATATATTCTTACGTACGACGTTAAACCCCTTTTTACCTCACCTTCAACGTGCTTTCAGATACGGTAAGAAAGACCACATGAACTGCATGCATATCAAACACAGCCATGCCAACCATTGACGTATCGAACAGACTGTCTCCAAATAAAACTTGTCCCTGTGTATATAATTTTCGTCATCATTTGGCGGTTTTGTCGAATCTCGAAGTATTTTCGAAGGTCCCACGAACTTCGACCTTCGACACAACAGTGTCTACCTGGATCACCTGCAATGTCAATGTTTTACTGCTAAAAGGACCCATTCCTGTCGTGACAACTTTAATTTCAAACATGACTCTTTCTATAATCATTAGTACTCTGTGTTCTTCCATTGTACGATTCGACTATATTACAAGCGTATGTTCATACTCCATACCTTGATCCATGGGGCATTCAGTGTGGTTATCATATACACTCTTACAAAAATGAAACGCATAAGCCATTTTAGGAGAATTTATTGCGTTAGTTTAAGAGCAATTATTTCATGTAATTTCAATGGTAAAAAGGTGAAAATTCGCCAACATAACAGCAGTATTTATTGTTGGGTTTCTGTTTACACATGTCATCAGTTCCCAGGTTCGCAGATCGATGCTCATGCTGTTGATCAATGGATTGTCTGGTCCAGACTCCATTATTTACAGACCGTCACCATATAGCTGGAATATTGCCGAGTGCGGCGTAAAACTAAACTCACTCACTTCGAGCCCACAAGATGTCGTCAAAGTCAGTACTTTGTATGGCCACCAATAGCAGCAATTACTGTTAAAAAGTTAAAATCCCCGCGTTTTGGTGCTGAAGCTGTTTACAATTACACAAAGATGACGTTTTGGAAACAAATAGTATATTTGTATTATTTTTGCCGCAGCAACACGAGTCCAATATTCATAACATCACATATGCGTTTCTTTTTTGAAGAGTGTATATCAGATGCCATCATCATAGATATTTGCTAAGTATCTTTCTTCAAAGGTTAAGGACAGATGTCAAAAGGAAATCAAATGAAGCTATAGAGGAAGCAATAAGCATCATCACTACCACTGCCTTATCTCTAAAATGTGTTTCTTTATTCTTACGAGTCCAGGTTTCATCGCAGAGTGGCAAGATAAAAAACAGGAATTTGGCTATGAATTTTAACCTCAGCCGCAAGTGAAATGTTAGTTTTCAATAATGGTCAAACAGTTCTCTTTAGCTGATTGGCCCAGGTTGGAAGTCACAATTCACTGCTGTGTTTGCAATCATGTTTTATCTGATTTCAGACTGTTGGATGTATTCCGTGGTCTTATCAAGAATTGCGATGGTAATGCCCAGAACAATTTTGAGAATATTTTCAACCCGGTCAGAGGATCTGGAGGATTCAACGGCGGAAACAATGGAGGAGGGCGTGGTAATGGAGGAAAGAATGGCGGAGGGCGTGGTAACGGAGGAAAGAATGGAGGAGGGCGGGGCAATGGAGGAAACAATGGAGGAAACAACGGAGGCTGGGGTGGCAACGGAGGAAATACTGGAGGAGGGCGTGGCAATGGAGGAACCAATGGAGGAGGGCGTGGTAACGGAGGAAACAATGGAGGGGGGTCTGGCAAGGGTGGAAAAAATGGAGGTTGGGGTGGAAACGTAGGAAATAACGGAGGAAGGCGTGGTAACGGAGGAAACGATGGAGGTGGGCGTGGTAACGGAGGAAACAATGGAGGAGGGCGTGGTAACGGAGGAAACAATGGAGGAGGGCGGGGCAATGGAGGAAACAATGGAGGAGGGCGTGGTAACGGAGGAAACAATGGAGGTTGGGGTGGTAGCGTAGGAACCAATGGAGGAGGGCGTGGTAACGGAGGAAACAATGGAGGAGGGCGGGGCAATGGAGGAAACAATGGAGGTTGGGGTGGTAGCGTAGGAAACAATGGAGGAGGGCGTGGTAACGGAGGAAACAATGGTGGTTGGGGTGGCAACGGAGGAAATAATGGCAGAGGGCGTGGTAACGGAGGAAACAATGGAGGAGGGCGGGGCAATGGAGGAAACAATGGAGGTTGGGGTGGTAACGTTGGAACCAATGGAGGAGGGCGTGGTAACGGAGGAAACAATGGAGGGGGGCGTGGCAATGGTGGACAAAATGGAGGTTGGGATGGCAACGTAGGAAACAATGGAGGAGGACGTGGTAACGGAGGAAACAATGGAGGCGGACGTGGTAACGGAGGAAACAATGGAGGAGGGCGTGGTAACGGAGGAAACAATGGAGGTTGGGGTGGCAATGGAGGAAACAATGGAGGAGGACGTGGTAACGGAGGAAACAATGGTGGATTTCGAACGACCACGATGATGATGATGGGTGGAGCTGGTGGCGACTAGACACACTCCAAATTGTGATACAGACATTTGCCCAGTGAATATCATTTATGAATAAGACATTACGTGATGCTAGACTGTTTCCAGACGCTTAGATATCACCATTAATGATCCGGTTCTATCTGACAAATTCTTTCACAGGACGCGTTGTTCTCATAACTATATAATGTTATAGAAGTGTGGTACAGTTTGAAGCTTTCTCTCTACGGCACACATACACTTTTCATTTATGCTGAAGGTAGATAACTAGTAACATTCAAAGAAAATTTCTGGTGCCATTCTTGTCGCCCTATGTACTTTTATATATGTATTCATAATAAAGCAATAAACATCTGACCATTGTGTGATTATTCCTGGCTTTATATTTACACCTGTAGAGATATGCCCCCATTATATACTAGGAATATTCTTTGGAATACACCACGATGGTAACTAGCGTTGAATAAAACGACTCCCTCAATTTTTGCATCGTTGATGCACAGGTCACGGTCACCAATAGCATCGGGTTTCAATGACGGTCAATAATCAGATCAGCGAGCCTGTTCAACCGATCAGCTTACGACATCCGAGAGTTGGCACGCAGGCAATATCTGTCGGTGAATGCATACACAACATTATCTATAGGACTATCCTAACAGTGGCCAGTTTCACTCAAAGCTCAAATCATTTTGGAGCAGATGTGAAATGCCTGTCTGAAGACAATACAATTAGGTGTGTGTGTCGTGTGAGAGTGTGAGAGAGAGAGAGAGAGAGAGAGAGAGAGAGAGAGAGAGAGAGGAGAGAGAGAGATTCTCTCTCTCTCTCTCTCTCTCTCTCTCTCTCTCTCTCTCTCTCTCTCTCTCTCTCTCTCTCTCTCTCTCTCTCTCTCTCTCTATATATATATACGAATGCGGATCCGGTCGAAACTCAAAACATACCTGTGGTCTCACATCGTAAGGTTAGAGTAGCTTCCCTTTGAGAAAGGGCGGTTACTCTAGAGGTTGGACTAATGGAATGCCGGGACAGTAAAATAAAAACACAATGCAATTGTTATATTGCCTATGTATCGTTACGCCCCCGCTTCAGTTGGAACACTTTATGTCAAGAGTCTCAGAGTAGGGGATATGTTTTACAGGTGAAATTGCAGGAACATACATCGATGTCTGGAAAGCAAAGTAATTGATGTATGTTGTATGTAAACTCCCAAACGTAATATTGTCACAATTACAACTTATAATAGGAAACTGGTGCAATGGTACATGTCCAGACGATGCGAAATTATTTGCACTGATTGCATGTGCGAGCACAACGTCCATATGTCATCCCACAACATACTGCACAACATTGGAATCAGAGGGGGTTAGTTGTGTAGGGAACATCCGCATTAGGATGACATGATGGGGGCTATTCCCGCTCACCCAGCCCTATATTAGTTAGTCCTATCTATTAGAGATTAGGATTAGCTTGACCAGCTACGGTGTAAGGGTAGTAAGTTACCTGTGAGATTATATCCATGCAGTTTTACCCCTACTTTGAGGACACAACAAGGTCTTCATCTGGCATACACAATAAAGAATACTAAAAATCAAAGTGCGCTCGATTTTGTCAGTGGTAGAATCACAGGTCATTACTACCTGGACATCAGCATTGCACCATTCGAACAGCATTTTGCGCAGTGTTTCATCTTTCAGCATTATAATGTCCATCGTGCTCATTCCTCTAACAGCAAAACATCAATTTCATGCCGTGGCCAACACTCTGCCCTGACTCCTCAAGTGCATCAGGATGAGGCAAGGTGACATTGGTTAAATTATCACAAGCATACCTCGAATAATTCGTACATGCCTACCCACCTAGGGCGGTTGGCTGCAAAATGCAAATTTCAAATTTGACCCCCGACCTCTTTATCAATCCACCGCCTCATCAGGCAGGACACTTTAGATCCGATCTATCTACCTCCCCACAAGGAATCTCGAACTATGTCAACCATAGAGTGTACGCCTTTTAAATTTTGTAAGTGCTGTGGTCACCCATGAGTGTTGATGGCACACCGTACAATGACCCTTCAAAACCGAACATTACGACATTGGGTGACGCTAGAGTCGCTAAAACGTTCTCTTAAACATCTGTATATCATTGCACGCCAATAACAGCTGTCCAGAAGTAGCCAAGGTTCGTCTGTGAATAGTTTTTTCCGTCCAAGTCTTGTCTTCTGAACCCAGACGCTGTCAACTGCAAGCTTGGTGTGCCCTGTGGTGATGTCGAAGTAACGTTTGGCAAATCGCTGGACGTCGGGACGGATGTTGTGCTCCCTCAACCGGTTGCGTACGGTTCTCAGATTTTTGATGCCAACCCATGAACTGTCTGTGCTGCTAGCGTAAAAGTTGATGTCGTGGTGTCGATGTCGTAGATTCACCAAGCGAGTATTGTTGTCTGGCTAACTTTGCGTGAGCGTTATTTATTGTTAAACAAATGTGGTATGAGTACCAGATAGCTAAGCAATCATCTTCACTGTTTATTTTCAAAGAACACCTGCATGTATACCATGCTTCTGACAAACACCCAAACACGCACTGTGTACGTCATGCGTGAACAGCCACGAGCAACTTATGAATCACAACCATGTTGTAGAGAAGGTGTCGTCTCAGGACGCCGACCTTTCGAATTCTAGGACTAGTCTAGGACGCCGACCTGCGGTTTCTTTTGAAGGTTAGGTTCTGATTAGGCGTAATTAGGGTTGCGGATAATGTACTCTAGATGTTTTGATAAGGTGAACTCGTCGCACTAGGTGAACATATCGCAGTGGAACGCAATGGAAAACCACAACTCACATGGGCCAAGAACCAACAACCACCTGGAAGGATGGCATTCACGTCTGAAGAGACAGAGAAGTCTTAATGAATATCTATTGAATGTAATTTAGAATAAATATATTTTTATTTTATATTAATTTTCATATGAAAATTCATTTGAGACACACTTACCTTTTTCATAAGTTTATATTCACATGACGTAAGAGATATTCTCTTTTAAAAACGATACATCATTTTAAGTGAGTGAGTTTAGTTTTACGCCGCAGGTGCATACATTGTTCATGAAACATCCAATGAATGGGCAAGACACGGAATCTTGCAATTAAATACATGTTTATGTTGTTGACAATATTTTTTTCTAAATTACCGATGCTAATATTAAAAACATTAAAAAGGAAATGCCAACATTGTATAAATATTGAAGGTAGATTGGGTATTCTACACGGAAATGTGATAATTATTGAGGTAAACTCCCGGCCACGTTTAGTCAGTGGATAAAACCGCCCCTCTATTTAGACTAGACGAACATCAGCCAACAAAATACACACACAGGTATCCCCAGCGTTTAGACAGGTAAGCCTGTCTACTGTGAACAAACATTGCAAGCGTCACTAGCGAAGTGAGATTCCCATCGTGTTTGTTATACGTTAAGGTTAAATACTCAAGAGTAAAAATTCACGTAATGATTTAACTAATTAACATTGCGAACTCGCGCTGTCAAAATCTTTAAACTGATCCGTTTCCCGAAAACACCAATCCCCTACAGGTAGGCCAATGAAACCTTTGGGAACATTTTTAAATGAACATTTTAAAGGGTATAAATATTTTACTAATGATTGTGCCTTCCTCAAAAGATACGAATTTTAAGGTAAAATGACGATTTTAATCAGATTCTTTGTTTTGGGATTGATTTTAAATTCTGTGTTTTCCTTGAGACAGCCGGCGTACTCAAGAAACAAATGGCAGAGTGGGGGCAGTGGTAAAAATAGAAGTAAGTATACAAGTAAAAGTTTCTATAGTCTATGTTCTTATAGTAGAGTGCGTTGGCTACAAAGATATGTTATTATGCAAATTGTTTCAGTGGGCAGGACCATCTTACATCTTACGCAAACACCTGGTTTCATCACGGAATTTCTTGTGATAAAATAAATATTTTGCTGATTTGCCTTTTACGCCCAATAGAATCAGATTCAGGAAATAATCAAATCTGGTTGTTATCTGGCGTTGGCATTGTATATCATTATCTGCAAATATGCATTAAAATATTGAATTAAATATATTTCATGTAGGCTAAGAAGGGGAAAGTACTCAGTAAATAAGGACATACATAGGAAGCAAGATAGTCGAATAAAAATATGAAACCTAACATGATGAAATGTGAACTTACGAATGAAATTGGTATCATATTGTCGTCGGATGTCTACACGATACAACCGGTGTATGCAACGAAGGTTTCCCTTGAGCAGGATGCGCTAATCTTTTCGCGAACACCTGGTTACGTTACAACTGACATGCTCATTTCGCCGGAGTCCTACAATCCTTTTAACAGACAGTTTTCATGAACAAAATATTGCTGGATAAGTTTCAGTAAAAATCGAGTCACAATATTAAAAAGATGTATTTGTTATCAAAATTAAACCGTAAAAACTACTTATAAAGATTCATGTAAAGTATATGTCAGTGCTTATTTAATAAATCGCGACTGTATTTTTATGTAAGTTTTTAGAAAATATTTACCGAAATTGAAAACACAAAAATTGAATTTATGGCACTTTATATCTCATGTACTGTCAGCATATATTCACTAATCTATGGTCATATCTGATGTAAATTATTATTTATTTTAGATGTGAATACGAACTGCGACGCTCTGGCCAAAAGTTCGTCATGTGACTTCTACAGCGCATGTGTAAAGACGGATGTGACGTCATGCAGCCTCAGAGATGCAGCCGAAGACTTCTGTCAGAAAGCCAGGGATGGTGAGCGGGAACTAAACAGCCTGGTGAGAATTGGCACATATTGTTAGGCGGTTGATACCCCAGTCGTTAATGTGTTAGTTCAAGGATTTAGTTCGAATCTCAACGTGGTTACCATGGGAACAGCTGATCATCGGTGTTATCAGTTATGTTGGTCATATTCTAAAAGATTTGTTTATACTTCAAAATCTCACTTACCATCGTAGAAGTATATGTCCTCCTCTTGTGTATAACACAATAGGGCAATCTGTATTTTGTAACGATGTGGGACGACCTGTGATATAAAACGGTATGGGACGAATTGTAATGTGAAACACTGTTATTCGAACTGCAATGTGAAACAATATGGGACGAGTTGTAATGTGAAACAATATGAGACGACCTGTTATGTGAAACAATATTGGACGACCTGTTATGTGAAACAATATGGGACGAGTTGTAATGTGAAACAATATGGACGAACTGTAATGTGACACAATATGGGACACGTTTTAATGTGAAGCACTATGGGACGAGTTGTATTGTGAAACACTATGCGACGACCTGTTATGTGAAACAATATTCGACTAACTGTAATGTGAAACAGTATTGGCCTTCAGTATAGCTTTTGTTTAAGGTAAAAATGGGCGCGACGTGGGTTTGGCGCTTGTAGGATTAGGTTTTGTTTGAATATTTTGTTCCAAACACATTTTGTTCTCTGACCAGACACCAAAAGAAAAGTTATTTAGACCTCTACTCATAATTTTCAACAAGATTGTTCATTCAATGTTTTTTTATAAACCCTGTTATTGGTTATTTTTTCAATTTTCCCCTAACGTTCCCGTAAGATGATTGAATTGTAAGTCCCTGAATGGTTAAATGGTAAATTGACGGATAATGCCGAGAAAGAATCCCAATGTCTACTATGTAATTTTTTCATGACTGATTATACCTATAGTATTTGTGTAACGAATGCTCACGACTGTTCCAGGGCAAAAGTACCTCACAGATGTGAGGACGTGTCTTCAGAAGAACCTTCAGGATCTTGATGCCGCCACGTCTTGTGACTCAACAGACCTCGGACGTGTTTTCGCGAGATCTGATATCAAGTCAGATTGTATTTACCAGAATGTCACTTTATGTGCCGTTCTCAGCTCAACGGAAAACGTTTTTACTCTTCTGGAAATATTCTCCAGCTTGGAGTCTGGAGGCTTCTCACGACAGTACGTATAATTAACATTCCTTCACTGTGATGTGTTTTTTTGGCTTTGAATTTTTTAGGAATATTTGTGGCTCCATTCCTGAAATCAAAACACCAGGTGTATATATTTTCCAGTTCTCGTAAAATCGTGTAGCTTATTATTTTGCGTAATATTCTATCTGAAGATAAATATACGTGTGAACAACATTCCTCCGTAATATTAAGCACAAACTTCCATTGAACTACAGAACATCCCTGCTTATCGCAAATGCGTATTTTGTCAACTACGAACATATACTACATCTATTATACTTTGTGGCTATGTGTCTTTTTCGCCGTGCACATCCCTCTCTGTCTATTATACTACTTACCTACCAACATATAGCAAAACGTGCGCGCATATGCACGTTCGCCCACGCGTACGCACACACTCACACCCTACCTCTATTAGAACTATGTTAAGTTATCAAATATATGGCGAATATACAGTTCATAATCTCCATTCTCAATATATTACAATTCAACCCGTTTGTATTTCAGATTCATCGCTCGATTTCAGGCCCTGTCTCAAGGTTGTAACGAAAGAGCCAAAGAAAACATCGAAAACATATTCCCCAAGGAGTTTCAGGACATACTGATTCCGAAACCTGATGCAAGAACAACCCCGAGAGCGGACATTACGACTTCACCGACAACACCATTTACATCCTCGGCAGCAACTACTCAGACGAGCATCGACTTACGAGGTGGGCCCCGATGTTCATATCATCACTTTCCACCTTCATTGACAGATCCAGGTTATGTTCAAATGTCAAAAGTTATAATTCTGTTTGTTGTTTAATGACGCAATTTTCCATTTGGTAATCGAAACCGGTCCCGCCAATCTAGTGATCGAAATCATGAGCATCGATCTATGCAACTGACATACGATGGCATACCTCAGCCATGTCAACGATAATGACGCCCCGACCCCGTAAGTCGCCTCTTACGACAGACATGGGAATATAACATATGTTATATTTGGGATTACACTTTCTTAGTAAAGTACAAATTCTAGTACTTTTTGAGTTTAGCCCCATCCGGGATTCGAACTCACACCCTCAGAGTCAGGCACCTAATCGCCAGCGCACAAGGTCAGCCGCCTAACCCGCTCAGCTACCGCGACTTCCACAAAAATGGAAGTCGGACAACTGGTAGTCTAGACTGCGGGCTTTGTGTACCCCTCTGATAATCATAGACATGGGAATCACTGAAATACATGTATATATAATGCTACGTAAAAATAGTTACTGTAGGAAATATGCAACATTGACGTCATCCGTCATAACGTTTTACTCGGGTGCGTTTCACGACCTCCTCGTGTGAAGTCAGGTTTTCACTTAACTATTCATATACTTCTCTTTCTATTCATATACTTTTCACCACTGTTTCATTCCTTTTACGCCAAGTGGAACCTGAAGGAAATCTACGCTGATGTTTCTCTGACGTTGACCTTGACATTGACTATTTGCTTCTATTCACCCTTGCCGTGTCGAGCAGGTTCTAAGACATACGGCACAATGTGTGAAGCCCATTTGTGTTGTCCCCCGCCGTGATATTGCTGGAATATTGCTAAAAGCGGCGTAAACCCATACTCACTCACTCACTCTAAGACATACGAAATTGTGGATGAGAACTGAAGGTTGTGGGGCTTCAATGTGTTCTACATTAAATGACGAATGTTAGTTATCCTCGAAATACGTTACATACTACTGACGTGTACAGAACCATGTGGTATGAGATGTCCCGAGCAACCTCCAGCAGGTGAGTTGGTCCCATCCTGAACAATTTAGGGACTGGTTCTGTTAGAGGTACTTTATCGCAGTTATAAATTTTTCAGGAACAGATTGTGAAACGCTCAGTAAACGCACTACCTGCGACTTCTTTCCTGCTTGCATGAAACCGGATTTGACTTTCTGCGAATTACGCTTGGACACTGAAGACTTCTGTAAACAAACAAGATCAGCTGAGGAAAAATTTGACTCTTTGGTGAGAATACCCTTTTGATTTGCTCTTTGTTTTTGTTTATTTTTGTGATGATATTCTTATAATTAACCCCGAATGAATTCAGTAAACATAGGTCTAGGTTAATCAAGTTTATTTCGTTACGAAATTAATTTTGAAATACACTTGATCAACGAAATGAACATAAAACTTTGATAAACAATCATGTGATAGATGTAGTAAGCCACGATCCACGACCTCGAGTGACGATGGCACATAATCAACCATGTCATCAAACCGGACCGCCGATGCATCAAATGATCTCTTATGACGTTTACATGTTGGTGGCTGTGAAGGGAGACATGCGTTCCTAGCAATTACATAAACGTTTTGTCCTTTTTTAACAAAAGGCAACAATAAAATCGAAGTACATCTTAAAACGTAAGACATGTGAAATCAATATTATCCAAAGTATCCATCGGTACCCGATGCTAGGTGCTACGTCGGTGACAGTTTGGCGAAGTCACATCATGACATGACATGACATGACATGACATGACATGACATGTAAATGTTTCCCAAAATTACATAGGAAGTTCAGCACATATGAAATAATAAACAAGTAGTGCTTACATGTAGCTTATTTTTCAATGTGTATATTATATAGTATAATTCCATAGCACTGTCGGGCCGTGGGTTAGCCTAGAGATTAAAGCGTTCGATCGTCACGCCGAAGACCCGGGTTCGATTGCCCACATGGGTACAATGTGTGAAGCCCATTTCTGGTGTCCCGAGCCGTGATATTGCTTTAATATTGCTAAAAGCGGCGAAAACCTAAACTCACTCACTCATCCTTAGCACTGTCTGAATGCAGGGCCGGAAGTACCTCCAGGACGTCAGAGTGTGTCTACAGAAGAACTTGCTAACAAATGACGACGTCACTTCGTGTAACGTCAACCAAGGTGGTGGCATGGAACAGGTGTTTGCTCCGTCTGGCATCAAGTCTGACTGTCTGTATCAAAACGTATCCCTGTGTGCAGTGGTCAACTCAGTATCAAATGTCCAGGCGTTGTTTGATCTCTTTACCTCCCTTCAGCCCGGACCATTCCAAAAACAGTGAGTACTGCCATTCCAGGGGTGGAAATAACCCATCGCCCGACGCCCGAGTCCAGTGTTTTTTTCTGTCGGGCAAGCAAATTTGTATATCACACTGTACCGGTGTCCAGTTGATATTCCAATGTTAATTATGTTGTTTATTTAAAAAATCAACAAGAAAATGGCCGATATAGTGGAAAACTTATCAGGGCAAGTGATTTTACATGTGCCACTGTACCGGAGTACACTAGCAATTTTAAAGTTATTTCCACCCCTGCATTCGCCGGTTCTTTGCCAAATTTACCCATGACCAAAGGGAATTTGCAAGACCGGGTTTCAAAATGTTCATCCACATTTACTTTGCAGCGCAATGATTTTATATCGATCAGAAAGAAATTATCAGAAATTAATCAGACTGTCCTTCTAACTCCGAATTATTAGAGTAATTTGATTGATTCCAGAGCAGGGTGAGCAGGTGCCTAAACTTTAGTCATCCTAACGACAATAACATTGGGTCATTATTTGAAGTCTTGGCTTTGCAAGTGTTTGTGACGAAGGGCAGGATCCGCTCACCTGTTTAATAACACATGGTCTTATCACTATTTGATTATGCTTGATGAAACTGTTCACAACATAGTCAAAAAGGAATAGTGGACTCTGCATTTCGCATACGTTTGTTTGTGATTCTGGAACGATTTTATTCAGTTAATACTATTAATATTATTAAAAACCCGTGAAGATCTGGATTAGAATTCAAGAACCCGTGCTTGTCGTAAGAGCCGACTAACGGGATCGGGTGATCAGGCTCGCTGACTGGGTTAACACACATGTCATCGTCTCCCATTTGCGTAGATCGCTGCTCATGATGATGATCACTGGATTGTCTGAAAGCATAAACAGTTTAGGCTTTCAGTGAAAAGAAGCATTTGGCTAACCGATGCTGTAAAAGGTCAGGTCAGTGAGACTTAGTGTGCATGGTCTGATATTAAAAGCCATTTCTTGTTAAAATTCTCCCCATGAGTTTCAACAGAAACGAAAAGATTAAAACTCGGTTCTGTTGCCCATTTGAAATATATATCAAGTGACGAACACCAGACAGCTAATTCAAACAGGATGTAATTCTATTCATATTGTATAATTCATTATTCTGTAATATTTGCCAGATTCATATCCCGATTTGATGCTCTGGTGGATGGATGTAACGAAGGCGCTAGGCAGAAGTTCGACTCTATCTTCCCTGAGGATGCTACGGAAATCCTGACTCTGCTGGATGATACAGGTAAAACAAAACATCCCTCTGTGACGTCATGTAGTATTCTCCCCAGGGAGCTGAGATGGCATTTCTTATCAGTGAGGAGTTGTTTGTATTTGATCATTGGGAACTGGGTTGTATTTGATCATTGGGAACTGGGTTGTATTTGATCATTGGGAACTGGGTTGTATTTGATCATTGGGAACTGGGTTGTATTTTTGGATCAGTGATGTATTTTATCAGTGGGAACTGGGTTGTATTTTATCAGTGGGAACTGGGTTTTATTTTATCAGTGATGTATATTATCAGTGAGAACTGGGTTGTATTTTATCATTGGGAACTGGGTTGTATTTTATCATTGGGAACTGGGTTGTATTTTATTATTGGGAACTTGGTTGTATTTGATCATTGGGAACTGAGTTGTATTTCATTATTGGGAACTGGGTTGTATTTTATCAGTGATGTATTTTATCAGTGGGAACTGGGTTGCATTTTATCAGTGGGAACTGGGTTGTATTTTATCATTGAGATCTGGATTGTATTTTATCAATCTGAACTTGTTGGTAATTTATCAGTGAGAACTTGTTTGTATTTTATCAGTTCGAGCCCTCAGGGAATGTGAGAGGCTGGCCCAGGATGGTAACTGTGAGTTCTACACCCAGTGTGTCAGTGTGGGCGTGGACACATGTTACGCTCGTGATGAATCCAAAGCATTCTGCAAGCAAACCGAAAGTAAACAGGACAATCTGGATACGAAGGTACTTTCAATTGTGTGTAAACTTCTCGTAAAATCACTGATCTATTGTCCTAGCTTTAATCATAGTGGCCTATTGCCTGTGTATTGTTTGACCTCCACAAAATGTACATACAATCAGTTGACTTCTGCAATATAGACACAGTTGACTGCCACAATGTGCTTACTATTGACTGTCTCAATTTACATACAGTTAGCTTCCACAATACACATACCGTTGACCTCGACAATGTACATTACAGTTGACTTCCACAATGTACCCACATTTGATGAACACATTGTACTTACAGCTGACTTTTACAATGTACATATGGTGACTGCCTCAGTACACAGATGACAGGTAAATGCCTCAGTTCATATACAGGTGACTGCCTCAGTTCACATACAGGTGACTGCCTCAGTTAACATACAGGTGACTGCCTCAGTTCACATACAGGTGACTGCCTCAGTTCATATACAGGTGACTGCCTCAGTTCAGATACAGGTGACTGCCCCAGTTCACATACAGGTGACTGTCTCAGTTCACATACAGGTGACTGCCTCAGTTCACATACAGGTGACTGCCCCAGTTCACATACAGGTAACTGCCTCAGTTCATATACAGGTGACTGCCTCAGTTCACATACAGGTGACTGCCCCAGTTCAGGTACAGGTGACTGCCCCAGTTCACATACAGGTGACTGCCTCAGTTCACATACAGGTGACTGCCTCAGTTCACATACAGGTGACTGCCTCAGTTCACATACAGGTGACTGCCTCAGTTCACATACAGGTGACTGCCTTAGTTCATATGCAGGTGACTGCCTCAGTTCACATACAGGTGACTGCCTCAGTTCACATACAGGTGACTGACTCAGTTAATATACAGGTGACTGCCCCAGTTCAGATACAGGTGACTGCCCCAGTTCACATACAGGTAACTGCCTCAGTTCATATACAGGTGACTGCCTCAGTTCACATACAGGTGACTGTCTCAGTTCACATACAGGTGACTGCCTCAGTTCACATACAGGTGACTGCCTCAGTTCACATACAGCTCAGTTCACATACAGGTGACTGCCTCAGTTCACATACAGGTGACTGCCTCAGTTCACATACAGGTGACTGCCCCAGTTCACATACAGGTGACTGCCTCAGTTCAGATACAGGTGACTGCCTCAGTTCACATACAGGTGACTGCCCCCTTTCACATACAGGTGACTGCCCCAGTTCGCATACAGGTGACTGCCTCAGTTCACATACAGGTGACTGCCTCAGGTCGCATACAGGTGACTGCCTCAGTTCACATACAGGTGACTGCCTCAGTTCATATACAGGTGACTGCCTCAGTTCACATACAGGTGCCTGCCTCAGTTCACATACAGGTGACTGCCTCAGTTCACATACAGGTGACTGCCCCAGTTCACATACAGGTAACTGCCTCAGTTCATATACAGGTGACTGCCCCAGTTCACATACAGGTGACTGCCCCAGTTCAGGTACAGGTGACTGCCCCAGTTCACATACAGGTAACTGCCTCAGTTCATATACAGGTGACTGCCTCAGTTCACATACAGGTGACTGCCTCAGTTCACATACAGGTGACTGTCTCAGTTCACATACAGGTGACTGCCTTAGTTCATATGCAGGTGACTGCCTCAGTTCAGATACAGGTGACTGCCTCAGTTCACATACAGGTGACTGCCTCAGTTAATATACAGGTGACTGCCCCAGTTCACATACAGGTAACTGCCTCAGTTCATATACAGGTGACTGCCTCAGTTCATATACAGGTGACTGCCCCAGTTCACATACAGGTGACTGCCTCAGTTCATATACAGGTGACTGCCTCAGTTCACATACAGGTGACTGCCCCAGTTCAGGTACAGGTGACTGCCCCAGTTCACATACAGGTAACTGCCTCAGTTCATATACAGGTGACTGTCTCAGTTCACATACAGGTGACTGCCTCAGTTCACATACAGGTGACTGCCTTAGTTCATATGCAGGTGACTGCCTCAGTTCAGATACAGGTGACTGCCTCAGTTCACATACAGGTGACTGCCTCAGTTAATATACAGGTGACTGCCCCAGTTCAGATACAGGTGACTGCCCCAGTTCACATACAGGTAACTGCCTCAGTTCATATACAGGTGACTGCCTCAGTTCACATACAGGTGACTGCCTCAGTTCACATACAGGTGACTGCCTCAGTTAATATACAGGTGACTGCCCCAGTTCAGATACAGGTGACTGCCCCAGTTCACATACAGGTAACTGCCTCAGTTCATATACAGGTGACTGCCTCAGTTCACATACAGGTGACTGTCTCAGTTCACATACAGGTGACTGCCTCAGTTCACATACAGGTGACTGAGTTCACATACAGGCGACTGCCTCAGTTCACATACAGGCGACTGCCTCAGTTCACATACAGGTGACTGCCTCAGTTCACATACAGGTGACTGCCCCAGTTCAGGTACAGGTGACTGCCCCAGTTCACATACAGGTAACTGCCTCAGTTCATATACAGGTAACTGCCTCAGTTCATATACAGGTGACTGCCTCGGTTCAGATACAGGTGACCGCCCCAGTTCACATACGGGTGACTGCCTCACTTCACATACAGGTGACTTTCCCAGTTCACATACAGGTGACTGCCTCAGTTCACATACAGGTGACTGCCTCAGTTCACATACAGGTGACTGCCTCAGTTCACATACAGATGACTGTCTCAGTTCACATACAGATGACTGTCTCAGTTCACATACAGGTGACTGCCTCAGTTCACATACAGGTGACTGCCTCAGTTCACATACAGGTGACTGAGTTCACATACAGGCGACTGCCTCAGTTCACATACAGGCGACTGCCTCAGTTCACATACAGGTGACTGCCTCAGTTCACATACAGGTGACTACCTCAGTTCACATACAGGTGCCTGCCTCAGATCACATACAGGCGACTGCCTCAGTTCACATATAAGTGACTGCCTCAGTTCACATGCAGGTGACTGCCTCAGTTTGCATACAGGTGACTGCCTCGGTTCAGATACAGGTGACTGCCCCAGTTCACATACAGGTGACTGCCTCAGTTCCCATACAGGTGACTGCCTCAGTTCACATACAGGTGACTTTCCCAGTTCACATACAGGTGACTGCCTCAGTTCACATACAGGTGACTGTCTCAGTTCACATACAGGTGACTGCCTCAGTTCACATACAGATGACTGTCTCAGTTCACATACAGATGACTGTCTCAGTTCACATACAGGTGACTGCCTAAATTCACATACAGGTGACCGCCTCAGTTCACATACAGGTGACTGAGTTCACATACAGGTGACTGCCTCAGTTCACATACAGGCGACTGCCTCAGTTCACATACAGGTGACTGCCTCAGTTCACATACAGGTGACTACCTCAGTTCACATACAGGTGCCTGCCTCAGTTCACATACAGGCGACTGCCTCAGTTCACATATAAGTGACTGCCTCAATTCACATGCAGGTGACTGCCCCAGTTCGCATACAGGTGACTGCCTCAGTTCACATACAGGTGACTTCCACAACATGTTGCACATGTTAACTTCACTTTTACTCGATCTACATACAGGGTCTCACCTACATCCAGAACGTGAGAAAGTGTTTGATGGAGAACCAGCTACAACTGGGAGACTTCATCCCATGCGAGACACTCAATCCTCAGATATTTATGGCACTCATTCAACCCAATGGAAAAGCATCCGATTGTCTGTTTCAAAACCGCACGGTGTGTACGGTCCTCAACGACCCTGATAACGTCCAGGCCATTAGAAGCATGTTTTATTCAGATGGTGCGGGAGAAGTGCAGAACAGGTACCGTCGATTTGTACAGCTAATACCTTTGACCATTTACCATTTGGCAAATAGAAATACAGGATTCCCTTCGTATGTTCTCTGTCTTATTGTTAACAAGGGCTTTCGAAACATGGCCTTGATTTTACAAGTCCTAATGACGATGGGTTAAACTTAACACTTCAAACGTGTTCTCCCAATATTTTGGTTTAGTTGTTCGAAACATTCACTGACACCCTATAGTGGTTGTCTAATCTGTCCCGTTGTGGAACCAGCGTTTAGTTCTCAAAAAAGGAACCTTGTGGTTAATGCGTGTGCCCGTCACGCCGAAGACCCGGGTTCGATTCCCCATTTTGGTACCATCTGTGAAGTCCATTTCTGGTGTCCCCTGAAGTGACATTGCTGGAGTAAAAAAGTAGTGTAAAACCATCCTCACTCACTCACTAATTCTTGGTTTACTAAATTTTTTTTATTTATTTCTGATGTGTATGACGTTAACATACTGGTGTTGATCATCTTGACAGAATTGCATCCTACATGGGTCTGCTGGTGCAGCAAGAGTGTGGTCCCGGCGCCCAGGCAATACTGGACACTCTCTTCCCATCTCCATCTCCGAAAGGTTGGTCACTCAATGTGCAGTCCATATATTTATTTCAGTTTCTTTTCATTCGGTGTGGCCCACTCGTCTAAGGCTTCAGAATTCTTTCGTATAAAGTAGTAAACGTCAGAGATCTGCATCACTTCGAGTTTCCCTCCCACATAAGCAGACCATGATGTAACTCGAATACTATTTAAATGCTCGTTAAACCACATCCACTGCCGTAGAGATGCAGGTCTTTGCAGGTCATGGGCCTGGCGCTGATTAACCCAGAAACAACCACGAACTGGGATTCGAACCACGATCTAAGGATGCTGTCGTGCCCTTTTCCTGGAAAGCATTTATGCGCAACGAATTGCGGCGCCTATCCGACTGAGCAGACCGAGCTCCTTCCAGTTAAAGACACTGGAAGAAATGGTACTAATTTAGCTTAGATGTTTCTAAAAGCTGCGCAAAACATTATGCTCCGCTCACCACATGTTCTGCCGTGACTTGCCGACACTTGTCTGGCTGTATTTCAGCGCTGACAGGATGTGACGCATTCCTCGTGAACGCCTCTTGTGACTTCTTCCCATCATGCCTTGCTGTTGCAACATCCAACTGTCGTATAGGAACACAGGTTCATCAGTACTGCATCAACTCGGAGAACAAACAGGTGGAGTTTGATGCTATGGTAAGTAACCGTGTCCATATATAATCTTAACATCACAACATTACAATACCGAAATATATCAGAAACATTCCAGGGCGGTAAACATTTGGTCTGGACTGGACAATCCAGTGAACATGAATACAAACTGACTCTATTTTAGACGGAAGAGATTCCGTGACCATGGCAACAGTGATCAGCTCACATCCCCTGGTAGCAGACTTAAAATGTTGGTTTGAAGATATTGTCCATGTATGTTTGTTTTTTAACGCCGCACTCAGTAATATTCGAGCGGATTGTAAATAATCGAGTCTTGTCCCGACAATCAAGTGAACAACATCATGAGCATCTAGTGGGATACGATGACATGTGTCACCCAAATCAGGGAACCTGACCACCCGATCCCGTTAACTGCCTCGTATGATTGCTGAAGATTAATTCTAACCCGGATCCTATCAATCCCAGAACGCACAATTCCAAGTCAATTTGTCTGAGTTACCCAATGCCAATAAAACATTATAGAATAATAATTTCTAGACGAGACACTGATGCTCTGGAAAACGTCATGGGGACATTCGAAGTTTTGTTATATGACTTATTTTTGCATTCCAAATGATTCCTTTTGAATGTTCAAAACTATTATTCTTTTTTAGGGTGTCACCTACATAGAAAACGTCCGGCGATGCCAGATCAAGAAGCTTCTTCCCCTGGCGGAAGAGCGTGAATGTAACGACGTCGCTGTCCCGGCGTTGGAGACGTTGACTAAAGTGCCCGGATGTTTATGGCAGAAAGGAGAGTTCTGTAAACTAGTCAGCACAGAAAGAAACTGCAACGCGCTCTTCCATATCTTTGGTCTTGGAGGAACCGATTCAGACATCAAAAGCAAGTAAGTACTGCCTGGTATCGTGACCAGTTCTGGTCATCTATTAATGCCTGTAATTTTGAAACTAGTTAGGTAGGTACTATTTAGATACAAAAGATTTTTGTCCGAAGAGTTTCCGCAAAATGTGTCACGGATCTTTACCTGGAACTATTCTGCTTCTGCAGTTGACCGCGAATTATTCAGAGCTTGAACCTGGACCAAACAGTCCACAGCATGAGCTTCGATCTACTCAATTGGGATACGATGACATGTGTCAACCAAGTCAGCGAGCCTGACCACCCGAAACCGTTAGTCTCCTAGTACGACAAGCATGGGTTGATGAAGACCAATTCTAACCCGGATGTTCACGGGTGTGTTCACAGTTTTTTCAGCGGATTATCCAAAACAACAAATGTTTATGTTGTTTTATAGATGTATCAATGTGTTTTTAATTTCTTTGAAGCTACTGACATTGTTTCATTTCAATCAACATTATTTATGAAAATAAAATCGAACCACAAGATATCATACAGTGAGTATCGGAAACAATGTGTATTTTAGGGCGAACTATTGGGTGAAGCTGATTGTTTTAGTATGTCGCAGTCATCATTGTTCTGACTATATCGGGGTGGACCCATCAAAAACACAAGGTGGATGGGTTGAACAATAATTAATGCCATAGGGTACTTCAAACAAATAGCTACCCGTGAAGATCCGGGTTAGAATATTGATCTTCAGTAACCCATACTTGTCGTAAGAGGCGACAAACGGGATCGGGTGGGTTGGTTGACACAAGTCATCGGTTCCCACTTGCGTTGATCGATGTATTATTATTGTTATAGGATATTTATATAGCGCACATATCCACGCACTAGGCGCTGGTAATTTTTCCCTCGATCATGCTGTTGATCACTGGATTGTCTGGTCCAGCGACGATTATTTACAGACGTCCGCCATATAGCTGGAATATCGCTGAATGCGGCGCAAAACTAAACTCACCCACTCACTCACTCAAACAAATAGCGACGTCACATATTCTTACGTCAAGCCTCTATTCTCTGAGGAAACCAAATAATAACATTAATTTTGTGACAGATTCTAAACAGGTTTTATTTTCAGTTTTCTAAACAATACATATATGTTGATGACGACAGTAAATGAGTTTACTTCAGCAAATTACGTTTTCTGATCTGTCGAAAATGCATTTTTTCCATTCTATATTGTTCACATTCTATTTTTTTAGGACGTGCAGTGTTAATAAACATATATTGTTTATGTGTCATCCCTTTATTGCAAAGTGGAAAAAGGGTATTTGGATATTTGACGTTGCATCTTTTTACAGAAGACATTATTTTTGCAAATACCAGTCGTAGCGTTGCTTAGCAACATTGTTCAAAACTGGTCTGAATCATTAACTTCAATTTTGAGGGAAGTCGGCGGATTTGCAAACAAGGTTTTAAAATGTACTTTTTCAGATTATTTTTCACTTTCAACAACCTTGCATCTCAATGTACCGCTGAGGAAAAAAAGTCCTTTGTGGCCTTCTTCTCCACGAAGTATCTGAACAGCATCCAGGACGACATAGCAGCCACCACTACCACGGTAACAACACCGACCACAGCCAGATCTACCAGGCCGATGATGATGGGATTCAATGGTGATTAAATGAGACGTTTGAGTCACCTCTAGCACGATGTGTGCGTTGGCTTGTGTGCCAACAGTATAAGCGAAACGTTTTATTTCCAAATATTAAACTTCACACTGCCGTAATATTTTACAAAGAAAAACTTGTTTCCATAATTCGTGACTCTTTAACGGATATTGTGAAAGACGAACAAAGTCAACATATTTTTACACACAATGACTTTGTGATTTTGTTGATAAACCTGAAACGTTCTTGTCAAATGCATTTTCGGGTTTTCAAAAAATATATATTATCAGTTTCATCAGCGTCAAGGGTGATCGGTGTTTTAATATTATTCAGGATTAAAGAGTCGATGCCGAAAAATAGAAATATGAAAATCAGACTTCAGTTATTTCGATTTCATTACATATTAAGGGCATGATTTACTAAATTAATGGAATACAGAGCGAAATAAATTTGGCCTAGCTACTGTTGTAGACACTGATATATCGCGAGTTGTTATAATGAAAGGTGATGATTTCCATGTTTTGTCAATATGTCGATTCGTACGTATTAAAAACGACAGGCTTAGTGATTATATCTATTGTGAACAGTCACCTCTTTGATGTAATATACCATGTGGATAATGTCCTTCTCTTGCTGTGGTATCGGTCGTGGCATTGCTAAGATATTGTTGAACTTAGGTATTGCCTTATATGTAATGCATGTTACGATTCGTTCGATACTTGTTCCCTGTTTTGTATATTATTATTAATAAAAATATCTCTGAATAAAGGCATTAATACGTGATCATATTCTCTCGAATCTGATGACATATGTCGTTAAATAAAAGATTGAGTGAGTGAGTGGGGAATTGAGTGAGTGAGTGAGTTTCGGTCCATTTTTAAGAGAATTCCAGTTACTTCATGGATTGTCGGCTAAATGTTGGAGAAAAACCCGAAGGAACGCAGTTATCACAGGTTTACTACTTTGGATAAACCCACAATCACGGGATTGGTGCAGACTAAGAAACTAGTCAATCATAATCAGGACGAATCGGGATTCGAACCCACAATCAAATATTTATGGAGTGTTCAAGGGACGCAACTCTGCCTAGCAAATTGCGGCAACTTGGACGAAGTGACCATTTGGGCCCTACACATTTGGGAAACCCACCATCAGACGTTGATAGTTAGCAAACCATCAATAATCGGAATTCGAACACAGGATCCTGGTGCAGCAATGAGCCGTAACTCTGCACAATGAACTACGCCGCTTGTGCTCCCATATATCAGTTTTGCGAATGGTATCAGTTTCTGCGAATGTCCAAGACGCTCGCACAATGTCCTTGGCGACACTGGCTGCTCCACCGTCTACAACGTCTAACTTTGACGTAATATTTAAACAACATACAAAATCGTCCGCAGACACGCAGTCTTGTTTCATAGAGTTTAATGTAAGTATGGATATGGACATCCTCGATAATCTCCAGGGTATACGTTACGATCACTCTCCACTATACCCTGGATGCATCCACGGCTTATTTTATTACCTCCTTTTGCTGGCTTTTGATCCAGTCAGGTGCCTACGCTGTGAAGTTGAGCGTACCAATCACTACTCACTTTCGCGTCTTAAATTATTTAACCGTTTAAACTTGGCAACACAATTGATGCAGAGGTACTCTGAAAGAAGTAGAAGGAGTTCTTTCATATATTCTTTTAAAGTTTCAGATCTGTGAATTTGTCTTTATTATTTCCCCAAAAATCTGAGTGGCACTACGAACAAACCTTTGCAATTGCGACCGCAATCTTTGTTGACACTGGCAAGGTCGGTTGTAACGGCGGCTTAGCTGATTGGCTACTGTGAGAATGCGGAGCCAGCCAAGGGAGGTAATATAATCATCGCCCCCAAGCCGTGGATGCATCCAGGGTATAGTGGAGAGTGATCGTAACGTATACCCTGGAGATTATCGAGGATGGGATATGGACGGTTCAACTCTCGTATATATTATATAACCTTCATCATCTGATTACACAATGAGGTAAATAATGAAAAATGTTTCACAATAATGTTAGTACCATGAACAGTTAGATGTATGTTACAATGATCTGCGATTTGTGCACGCACAGTATACACATCCTGCCAGCTCCATACACAGTATCCGGTCACCTGACGTCTCGGAGTCTTGATTATCAACAACGATGAAATGCTTTCCGTGAAGCTATACGCCCTCTGTGTGGAATATTCAGTTGGCTGTGAGATCCTCACAGCTCAGCATCTTTATTTGATACCTCTCCAGATCTACAATTGCCTTGTCTACACAGGCCTGCGAGGCTCCGTGTCGGTGAAGGAAGCGCTCCAACTCCTCCCACGTGAGTGCGGGGTACAGGAAGTACGTCAGAGGACGACCCACCCAGTAAGAACTGCCTTCAGGTTCCAGAACCTACGCAGAAATAGAAAATGTGATTTAAAATAAAAAACAGAAAAATCTCAGTTTTTTTTCTTTTTATTGTGTGTGTGTGTGTGTGTGTGTGTGTGCGCTCTTTTATTATGTAATTGGGTAACAGTAAAGCGGCTCATCTTTTTTCTAAATGACTGGCAAAGGAAGTGTACACACCTGTGTGCTCGACGCTAACAGTAGCCTCAACAATTACTGGTGAATGCAGACTCGACTAACTCTTCTAATTGCACATCAATTCAACATGTAGTATATCATATGAAAAGGTTATCGTTATAAGTAATTCGGACATAACTTTCGTCGATGGCCGACAAGTGAGTATGATTGCCGATGTTTTTGGAGAACATGCCTGCTTATTGTCGAGGAAATGATTTGTAGATGTTGCAATAAGTTTTTAGACCCGTGGAATAGCGCTGCCGATCGAATCTAGCCCTACATAGGTGCTGTCAACGTGGCTGGAATTAATAAACGAATTTAAAAGGTGAGTTTTCGCTGTCTTGGGTGATCCATGATTTTGGCTTGGAATTGCGGAGGTAGCTGTTTTCGGTGAGTCGTGGCGTATAACTTTTGAAATAATAATCCGATTGTGACCATTTATAGCTCATTTTGTGGGGAAATCATCTCGCTTTTGATCCGTAGGCCTCGACGGGGCCTTAGAAATAGTTTACGTGGTGAAATCTAACTTAGATTGAGGAGCGGGTGGTTCCGTCGTTACATCCCTTTCCTTTTATATAGTTCTAGGGTAGGGTCTATATACCTATATGTCTTTCTAACGCTGTTTCTAAGCGTTACACGCCCCTGTGATTCACATAAAGGCAAGGATTTTATGGATGTCAACCTCGTATTGTGATGGACACGACGTTCCGGTTATATTCCTACTCCTTCAGCTGGTGAATGACACAATTAGGAAACAGACAGCTATATATATACATATGTGAAACAACAACAGTTACAACAGAACAAGGGAAACTAGTAGTTAACTGGCACTAAATGGTAGATGCACAAGTGGAAGTCAGGGAATCCAGGCATGATTGATGAGGTAACAATGGCGGCAATTTAACAAGTGATATAAAGTTGACATCCATAAAATTCTTGCCTTTATAACTTTTGTCACCGATCATGTGACAGATATATCTGTCCTCAACATGTATACCAGAAAAGTGGTGGTGGTGAAGGTTTTACTGAGGCCTTGAATGTCGTAATCTGGACCAAATACCTTTCTGATTTTTGGAATCGATTATGCCTCAAAAGTTGTAAAACATCGATATCAAAGTCTGGAACTGCAGAATAATGCTCGCAGGAAAGAGAAAACGGACCACGGGAGCTACTTCCAGTTCTTTAGAAACTTAGATCCCGGTCAGAACTGTCCTTCAGCAAGCTATGTTTGGCATAAGAGGCGACTAACTGGATCGGTGATCAGGCTGGCTGATTTGGTTGACACATGTTCATGATGTTGATCACTGGATTGCCTGGTCTAGACTTAATTATTACAGACCGCCTCCATATAGCTGGATTATTGCTGAATGCGGCGTTAAACAGCAAACAAACAAACAAACAAACAAACAAACTGGGATTTTACGTTTTTGCTAAACTATCGGAAAGTCTCTCCACAATTTTGATTGACGACTTTCTGTTGCACAATCTGGACTACAGCTTCTCACCTCAGCTTCCACCGTACTGGTCAGTTCCACCTCAGATGTGTATGATCCGTCCGATCCGTCTGAAATAGGAAAGCTAAACGGTTATATATATATATATACCTTGCACATGGTGGTATATAGTGCAATCATTGTTATCATCGTCGTTACCACCACCACCACAGTTTTTAAACCATAGTTGGTGTGAATCCCAATAGTGAGTGAGGATGTTTAGCTATATTCCAGCAAAACTTCGGCGGGGGAAAACCAAAAATGGGTTTCACACATTGCATCTATATAGGGAATCGAAGCCGTGTCTCTGGAGTGACGCGCGAACGCTTTAACCACTAGACTACTGACTGACTGACTGAGGTATACAACAGATATTCTCTATGCCCGGGCACTGCATGTTTCAAAACAAGAAGTGTTGGGGTGAAGTCAACTTGAGTCAGAACCTTTTAAAGCTTCCCAATTTTCATGAAGCTGCTAAGTAACTATGAGGAGAGACTGACTGACTGACTGAGTTTGGTTTTACGCCGCTTTTAGCAATATTCCAGCAACATCACGGCGGGGGACAACAGAAATGGGCTTCACACATTGTACTCATGTTGGGATTCGAACCCGGGTCTCCGGCGTGACGAGCCAACGCTTTAACCACTAGGCTACCCCACCGCCCCCACTAGACTACTGACTATTCAATAAATATGTCTCTATGAATATGTCACTCCACTCAATGGATATTGTGAATAAAGTGTCTAAATTTAAAAGAGAGACACCCTATTCTTCACATGGGCATTCTTAATCTTATAAAAAAATTCCGTCATATTTGCAGCTGTATTCGTTTTCTTTGAAATATTGTGAAATAATCAATTGTCCAAATGCCTGACAACAGTGTATGTCCGCAGAAATACCACATTTATAATGACTGTCAAGCAAGTGCGACATT